CATGTAGTATCCAAAATGATATACCGATAGGAATGATTGTTGCATCAAATCCACCAGCAAGTATCACATCTTGTGCAGAAAGGCTTTCTATAATTGTGTCAAAGAGATTATAACTTGATCAAATCTCTCGTTACCACTTTGCCTTTGACAATGTGATTGGTGGCACTGAACATACAATAGTTACTAGTTGCACAAGCTGTCAAGAGGTTGCATCTCTTAGCCCTTGAACCTTGGGAAGAAAAATTGTGAGATTTCAATTTACCAACACTAGAATCTATAGACATTTATGTGTATTTCCCTTTTTTTGAATGAGAGTGCAAGTAAAGATTCATAAATTCTAAATAGTATGCTATAACAAACCCCTTAAAAATATATTTTAGAAAAGAACCAAGTCTCTTTTTTATATGCAACAAGCTTACATCAACGGTTGTTTTTTTTTTTCTTTTCAAATGGTTATATGGCCTTATATAGAATTTTAATTCAAATTTGATAATTTTTAAATTCTGACAAACCTGATATTTACTAGCTAGAAAGCACATAGTACAAATTTAAGAAAGTGACAAGAATACTTTTTCTGCAAATATTTTATTTTATGTTCTAACAAACAAATTATTAGAACAAGAAGTGTTCTTTAGAACATTTTTATCTATATAATATTTAGACAATTGTGAAATTATTAGGTTTGCTATAACTTTAATATTTTAAAGTTTATAATGTTTATACTAAATTACAATTGAAAATTGAGCTTAACTCGTGAGCTCAACTTTTCAGCTTGTGAGCTCAAGTATAGTTTATGCTCACCCCTAGGACCTGTTGTCTCTCAAGTCGAGAAATTTGAGGTTGGATCCACTAGCGATGGCCAAAGCTAGTGCCACCCTAACTCTAGGTGATGAGAAGCAAAAGTTCTCAAGCTAGACAACCTTCTTGATGAGCCTGGCAAGAGATCTAGCTCCTTGGTCACCGATCATGTTGTTATGGAAGTGGAAGAGCTTGAGAGAGCTGGTGGTGGTGATGATCTCGCATACAGCATGATGCAAATCCCATTGTTCATGAAAAAGAGCTTCTTGAGCAATTCCTGGGACTTTAGCAGTGGCATAAAGGCCATCACAACCTTCTTATTGTCCAAGAGGTTTAGAACATCTGCACAAGCATACACATCACCTCTAGTGGCTCCTCCTCTAGCCGCCCAGTAACAATGTCCAAGAATTGATTTCACCTTCGGGAGAAATCTGCTAAAGCTCTTGTCTCTAAGGAAAATATTGGAGTAGCATGACATTCCTAGTGGCAGAGGAAAGCTCTTTGCCCGGCTGAAATTGTTCATCTTTCCAATTCAGATTTCCCTAGTGCTTCTAGCATCATTTGGCTTGCCTCTCAAGAATAAATCTTCACCACTGCCACAGGATTGCTGCTAGTGCAGCCTAGAAAGTGGCTTGGATCCCACAGCAGTGACAAATGGTTACCTTTTAGTGATTGCTAATGGTAGGCTCAATCAAATGTGTATGGAGGCCTGCTTATGAGACTTGTTTTTTTCAAAGAAACCATTGAAGGCTAGAGGTTTTTCTGCTTGATATAGATTTGTGACATGGTTGCTGTATGAATGTGACCTTGTCCTTAACAACATAAATTTTATGTTCTTTAAGGATTTGCAAAAACCTTGACAAAACACATATTAAATTGAAGAAGTAATGAAAATAGATTCAAAATCCACTTTTTAACTACAAATCAGTGGTATTGGCATCCCATGTTCATCTTCCACTATTAAACTACAGTTCTGCAATAGAAATGTTGGACAAGATATACACCTCACAATCATGGGAATCTATTTCCACTTCAAAACCATCCTCTTGCCTTGAAGTCTAAACTTTGTGTTATAACCCATACACAACAAAGATATATATCAATTGTCAACTGTGTAATGTATTGCGTATCTTCACAAATCTCTCACACTTGCTATCACATATATCTCAACTATTAAATCTTGGCATATACCTAGAATAAGAATCCCTAGCATATACTATTATTATACTGACTTTTTTGTTTAAATATATGAGTATGATAACTATGAGTACAGCACATGTGTGTCGGTTAAGGGGAGAGTGATAGAGTGTGTTACATATATGGTGTCAACAGTTACTAAGCTTGATGTTTAGTATTTACAAAACATAAAGTTAGATTTACTTTTTCTAGATAAAATTCATGACGCTCAAAAGGTTAATATATGGATTCAAAAACTTTGTTATAGGTTTGAGAATTTTGAATCACTTATTAATAATTTTTTATTTTAACATTTACATGATTTGGATATATTATCATTATAGATCTTTGGAACCTTAAGGGATAAATAGGGATAAAATAAAGGCTCTTTCATCAAACAATTGCCTCTTTTTATATTGGCTTAGAGGAGAGATATAGAGTGTATTACAAATAGGGCTTTTTCCACAATCAATTGTTTATAATAAGTATATCATTATTAACTATTTATTGGTTGGAAGTTAATGTTCTTATTACTACGTTTACAACTAATGTTAGATACTTTCTCCCCAATTAAGTGCTTGTTTAGAGTGAATTTTTTCAGACAATAGTCTTACTGTTTACAGTTAAAGTATTTTATATATTAATGTATTGACTAAGGATACCCACATTTTGTATATGCTTATTATCCATAAATAGATAGTTTGATGGAAGGGCTCATTCACACCTTCAAAGGGATGATCATGAAGTTTATTGATATTTAACTATATAAAATCTTATATAGTCATAAATTTATATTGCTAATAAAGCTAAGTTTACCTTCACAATTGTTATATGTTGTTGATGCTACATTCTTGGATCAATATTTGACAAACATTATTCCACTAATTTAAATAGAGTCTCCTGAACACTTGGGTTGCATATTAGTGGATTAGTATTGATACATCCACACATAAAGTGGATGACTTAGTATTAGTTCATTTTCTTAATCTTATAATATATAGTTTGTTTAAGATCCTTACTTAGTGGAATATATTTAGTTGCAACAAATTAGGCTACAAGTCTATAAAATTTAATATAACATTGAACAAACCAATTCTTTAAATTATGTATATGCAATGGTTAAAATGTTTTGTACAAAAGGACCAAGAACAAATTGCACTACTTATGGATTCACTAATGCCTTTTTCTGATGTTTTTATGTATTTTAACTATACTAACACTTAATTGTTTTCCATCCTTTGATGATCTAAGGTGTTAGTGGATATCTATAAATTATTAATGTAGTGGGATTTTGATACTCATCAGATTAAAGACATTTGCTTCTGTATATAGGTTAAGTGCATATTTTTGTATTCCATGTATTCATATAGCAAATTTTGAGGCTTTTATAAAAAAGTTATAATCCTCTCAAAACTTTTTTGTGTTTTAAAATTTAATTTTTATCATTATTACAATATAAAATTTATAATACACTTTAGCATTATAATTTATCTAGATTAATCTTGTTTTTATAACTTATATACTCTCTTAAACACTTTCTAGTATATTTTAATTTATTCTACCATCTAACAATTAATATACACTTAAAATGGTGATTTTTCATAATCATATAAAAAGCTCTATTATGGAATTTATGGAATTTGGAATTTCCATTTTTGCAATACCAACTTAATATACATAACATTGCTCTCATCAGCAACAGATTAGGCTCCATTTCATCTACAATTATGGATTTAGTGGACTACATCTAAAATTATGAATTTAATGATTCTAATAGCACCAAAACAGTTTTATCATTTTAAATATGATGTAAGTGAATGAAAAGATTAGGCAGAACCACACTTTAAAGCTTATGTAGGCTAAAAAAATCTTGTAAAATGAGAACAAAAGAAAAAAAAAATCCTAACTAATAAGGAAATCAAATTTTGTTGTTTGGAACGCACAATAATTTATTGAGAGCAATTTAAATCAAACAAACCAAGAGCTTGAGCATAATCATGAAAAACTTTATACCATTCATAAGTGAACAATGGACATTCTTCTCTTAAAAAGCTGAAGACTTGCTGAATCGAGGGTTGGGGGTGGCTGCTCAATATCTTCCAGGCAGCAAAGATGGGAGTTGAAGCCAATGACATTCAGTTTTGTTTCCCAGAGTGGCAGATTTTGAAAATTTGGGAGGGGCTTTTGGAATGGACCTAGTGCTGGCTGTCATGAAGACTCGGTAAAGACCTTGTGAAAGATGCCATTCAGCTTCTCACCCTGGAATTATGCATAAAGATTAAACAGAGCTTTGGTATTATTACAGCCTTGCTAGCAGCTTCTTCTCACTCACTCATCGCTCGCTTACACGAAAGAGTGCTCAGGCTATGCACAAGAGGTTTTCGAGGTACATGCTCCTGGTTTCTGGAAAGTGACCAGATTTACCACAGTCACAACTTGCCATGCCCGGCCATAATGTACTTTGCCAGTGCCAGAAAAGGCATCTAAAAGACTTCATGGTACGTAGCAAGCCAACTTGCTTCAGGGACACTCCATCCGCTGCATCCACAATCAGAACCCAAAGATGGTGGGCGGGGGACAATCTGGTTCGTTTTATGAAATTCAGCAACACGAACGGCCCTGACCTTAAAAATTTAAGCTCAGAAAACATCACACTGACCATGAGAGTGAGTATATAGGCTGACCATCGATCCTGCACGAGAAATATTTTAACCGGGATCATGTTTCACTGGTATCATGTGCTGCATACCAGAATTTGAAACTGTTGGAGCTTCTGGTCGAATGCGATTATAAGCTCTAGCAACGGTTGTCCGCTTGCTCCCACCCACAGTGCCCAGGACCTCGTTTACAATGCCTCGCTCACGATTGCGAAGAAATAAATTGTGATTTTATCTATAGCTATCCATAACTAGAACGGAAACAAACTCTAGTGTTGGTAAAGTATCTCAAACAGTTCGTTGCAGGCGTTGTAGGACCGCGAGCAGGAATGCTTTTCTGCAATATCACACTGAAAGCTTTCAACGGTATAGGAGATTCTGATAGGTTCCTTGCTCGATTGAATTTGTCAAGTCAGTGCTTATACTAGATTTCTAGGTGGCTATAATCGAATGCTTGTTTTGCACAAGAGCGACTACATGTTCTTCTAGAACAGGCTTGTCTTCTTCAGGATCCTGTAGAATTCTTCCTCGCTTATCTCACCATCACCTAAAGGAATAAAACATCAAAACCAATTATGAGCCATTTGTAACTACTTACCATCGCGATCGGCTTCGTCGATCATCTCCTGAAGTTCCTCGTCCGTCATGTTTTCTCCTAGCTCCTTTGCAACTCGCTTGAGATTCTTGAAGGAGATCTTTCCCTGGAAAAACAAATGAAAAAAGCAGTGAGGGCAACATACACAATCTGTGTGTAGCTTACGGTCTCGTCGTCGTCAAACAAGCGAAATGCTTTCATGATCTCTTCCTTGGAATCGCGCTCTCCCATCTTAGCAGTCATCATCTGAAGAAACTCCTCGAAATCGATTGTCCCGCTACCGTCTTTATCAACATCGGCTATCATCTTCTTGATCTCCTGCCAGACAAAGGTGAAGGATAGAATTTTCGTCAGCCTCGCAAAAACAAAAGAACTGGAAAAACTTACTTCTTTCTTCGGCTCAAAACCGAGTGCTCTTTAGAATCGCAGAAGAGTTTTTAGATCACGTATAAACGAGTGAGAGTAATGAATCATGCCGTGCTTACCTCATTGCCACCTTAAGTTCTTTGGCGTCGATTGTTCCTGGAAAGAATAGCAAGAAAAATAAAATCATCTCCAGGTTAGAGGAAATTATTCGTTCGATCACAAGCAAAGAAAAAAGACTAGTAGCGAAGACCCACCAGATCCATCTGTGTCGAACAAATCGAAAGCCTCCCTGATCTCCTGCTTCTGTTCTTCAGTCAAGCCGTGCGTTCGACCCTTGTTCTTGTCCCGCTTAGCAGCAGCGATTCCCTTGCGATAACTCTGACAGAGAGGGAGAATGGATCAAACGAGGGGGTTAGCGAGCGATCGATAGAATGCGGCGAGCTTGATTCACCATTGCAGCGCAGAGAAGAGAGCTCCCGGGGAGGTCCAAACAAACCGCGGCAAGAAAGAACAGCTAGGGTACCAGGAGCGCATAATCTTGGAATTATACGCGGCATTTTCCGTCCCGGTATAACCGTTTCTTTCTACTCGACCATTTTGGACGGTGGAGATTGGGTCCGATCCGACGGTGCAATTTGAACCGGAATATCTCCGTGGGTGTTCCAATAAAAGCCCTAATGTAAGATCTGTGCGGGCATTTCGAGTGTGAAACGATGAGCTCGGCCGAGGACGAGAGGGAAGGGAATGAAGTCTCTTCTTCTGATTCTGGCTCTATAGGTGATGCGCATCGTGATTTCTTCCCATTCTTCTCACTGTCGATGCTTTCCTCCGTTCTAGGGCTTGTTTCCTACACGGAGGCTGCGCTTGCAGCTCTGGAGGATGCAAATCTTGAAACCTTTCGGCATACGCTGCGGGTAATCCATCAAAACTTCCTCGCATCGCATTGGATAGAAATCTTTTTGCCACAGGGACTCACAAGAACTGCCTCTGACGAGGACTTTGTGAATGCTTCAAGAGATGCCGAGCGCTTGTTTGCGAGAATAAACTCGCAGCACTTCTCCGTCTTCAAGCAAGCACTAAGTATGTGCGCCAAGTGGGAAACTCTTCAACCAAAGGTAAGCGTGCATGCATTGTGGCACATTTTTTGCTAATGCACACCAGAGACTTTTTTCCAGATCCAGGCATTTGATGCATCGGCCTTTCGAGAAAATATGAGCTTGGCATTAAAATCTCTGAATCTTGCTGTCGATTCATGGGACATGCAACAAGTTGTGGAACTATTTGCGGGCCTTCTTACACACCTGCAAACTAAGCAACAGGATCCTGAACAGGAAGACTCGGCAGGCGACCTCAGTGGTTTTCATAAAGCGTCAGAGTTGCAGGGGGATGCAGCAGATGGAGACACGTCGCCAGAAAGCATTTCTGCTGATTTCCTTCCGAAGAGGTCTGGTTAAATTGGGTGATGTTATTGTATCTCGTATCTCGTTTCAGGAGCCAGGATCGGAATTGGTCAGAGTCATGGAAATTGGCTGTTAAAGGTGTTCTTCAGAAACAACGGCGTGAACGAATACGGTAACTAGCACTGTACATCTGGTAATGAACCATATGACTTAGTTTATTCTCACTCAGTCACCGTGCAGAGATAAAGGACTTCAGAAAGTGCAAGCCTATACCAGAAGAATCATTCCGAAGTCAGAAGGCACTAGGGAGCATCTTCGCAAGATTTTAAGGTGCATATATATGCCAAACAACACAAAATACTGGCCATGAGCTGATCATGCAGCGCAAGTTTTCTTTTCGGTGATCTGGAACCTAGCTTGAGGGAGGAAATTGTGGATGCTTTCGAGGACATCAGAGTATTATCCGGACAAAACATTATCAAGCAAGGGGATCCTGCAGACAATTTTTATGTCATTGTAAGTCTTGAAAGGTCCGTTACCTCATGCACAAATCTTTTCTAAAATTTGAGGCCTTTAACATTGTATGTTATCAATCGGTCTTTACAGGACGTCGGGGAATTTGACGTTCTTGTCCGGAAGGTACAGATTTGCTCCATGCTTCATGTCCTCGTGTTCATGTTGCATAGCTTCAGGGGAGAGAAGCACCCGTGCTTGTGACAAGGAAAAGCCCGGGAGATTTCTTTGGAGAGCTTGCTCTCATGTATGACAGCCTCCGGAATGCGACCGTCAAAGCCACAACAAATGCCCTTGTGTGGGCTGTAGACCGTACAACGTTCAAGTCCATCATGAGCCGTCACTTGGCTGGATCACCAGTTGCACAGGTGCCATTCTGCAATGACTGTTTAAATCGCTGGTATACTACTGAAACTTTTTCGTGTTCGTTATTGGTACTAAAATCTTGTTTCAAAAGGTGCTGCGAGAGGCTCCTGTTTTGAAGAAGGTCGCGACGAGAGACATTGTCATGCTTAGCAGTCAGGCTGAAGTTGAGACATATCGTCGCGGCCAGTTTATTTTACGAGCTGGATCGTCTATGGATAGGGTAACTATGTGTTTTTTCATTCATTTGTAACCAGGTTTTCATCTCTCAGATTTATATTATTCAAGAAGGACAGGTTAGAATAAGTTGGGGTGCAGCTGGAGGTTCATCTCGTAATTCTCGTGGTGAAACTGTTGCTGTTATGAAGCGGTTGGAAATACTTGGTGAGGCACTTATTCTCAACGACGAGACGGTCATCTCGTGGAATTTCGTTGCTTCCTCTGAGCATGTAAGCTGTCTGACATTCTCGTATGGGATACAGACTGACGTAAGTGTGTTCGATTTCCAGACATCTGTCATTGTTATTGAACGGAGTTTATTCACTGAGGCACTTCTTAATGATATTAGGAAGGACCTCCAAGTGCAGCTTGTTGCGCTTGGTTTACAGAGATTGCCTTCATTTCTGGAGCTAAGTTCCGAACAACTTTACAGTCTAGGCCGTCACTTTGACGATACCGCTCACGTCGCAGGTACTGAAAGGCTATTTTAATTCTACTGAAAGCTCACTTATTGATACGTTTTGCTTTCTTAAGGCGAAGAGATTACAAAATGTGGTGACGTTTTGGGGCCTGAAGCTAGAATTTACGTGGTTCAGAGCGGGACTATATGTCTTTCCAAGTCTGCTGACGACGAAATGGTGATGACACCGCGTGGCAGCCATATTTCCTACACCTCTAGACAAAACGTGAGGGAACCAAGGGACTCTGGTATTGGCTTTTGGGGTAGCAGGCTTGGTTCACTACTTAAGTCCGGCAGTACACCTCAATCTCCACGAAATAGCAACTTTGTCGCGGGTGCACTGACTACCCAGGACTTGCTCAGTCTTTCACAGGGCCTTGGTGGATCGACTAAAGTTAGAAAAGGTGGAAGTCCTCGTCAGAGTATTGGGTGCGTTGGCTGTTCCAGTTTTTCATTTTAACTCGTTACTTTGATTGTGCAGTTGTAGCTCTCCTTGGACTCTCACGACCTATGGTGTTTTTGGAGATGAATGCCTTTTAACTCGTGCAAGCGCAAAAGATGAAAGCTACTGGCCACCTTGCAAAACAACATCTGTGGTAGAATCTTCCAGGGGAATATGTTTATCCGTGACTATTGCGAAGCTGACTTCAATCCTTGGTCCTATTCAAGAGCTACTCACCCGGTTGACAAATACCAAAGTACTCGGGTAATGCCAAGTCTTTCTTACTTTTATTTACTCTATCTTACACGAGTGCTTTGTCACAGGAAAATACATTGCTTAGACTACCTTTTTGGCTCAGAAATAGACTTATTATCTCATTCCATGGGCGTGAGAAAGCTACATTCTGGTGAAATGTTGTATCGAGCTGGAGACCCCGGTGATCGTTTATACATCGTGAGCAAGGGAACAGTGATCGAAACAGTACATACTCCCACACCCGATGGGAGCAAACAGAAGGGGGACCAGATTCTTCTATCTAAGGGATCATATTTTGGAGAGAATGCTCTTTTGGATGACGAGCCAAGGCCTTCCACCATGGTTGCGGGAACAATGGATGCCAACAGACCAGGTTTGCTATCCTTGTGTAGCGAGCATTTTCTTAAAAGGCACGATATCTACAGGAGGAGCAGAGCTTTTCTACCTGGACAAGGGAGTGCTGGAGGCAAACTTTGGACCGCTCCGGGAGCTCATTGAAAATCGTAAAAAGGAAAATGAATTGAAGGGAATTGTTAAAACAATCGGATATGAGGATTTGGAAGAACTTGGAATTATCGGAACAGGTCACAGCTTGTACTTGAGCTTTATTATTTCCTGACGCAAGCTCGTTTTGTGTATGCAGGGCTCTTCGGCAAAGTGAAGCTGGTGTTTTGCCGACGGACACGCGAGTATTATGCTTTGAAGTGTGTCAGCAAGGCAAAGGTTCTAATACGTCAATATCTGAGCTGTTAGCCAGTTCGATATTTTATCATTCAAGCATGTTTGGATCCAGGTCATAAGACTCCAGGAGGAAGAACATCTCAGAAATGAGAAACTATTTATGACTGAAATGGACCATCCGTTTATCACCAAGCTTATTCGAACCTACAAGGATGACAAGAATGTAAGTCACAGTTGAACTTATGTCTGGGAGCTAAAATTTCTGAATACCATGCAGATTTACTTGCTTCAAGAGCTGACCACGGGAGGCGAGTTATTCTTTCATATGGAGAAAGTTGGGCCTTTGAGGGAGGCTGAGGCATCGTTTTATGCCGGTGCTGTTCTTTTGGTGTAAGTAGAGTATGTCTTTGTTTACAATCGTGTTGACTTGTCAAGCACAGGCTGGAATACATGCACGGAAAAGGAATTGTTTACCGTGATTTGAAGCCCGAAAACACTCTGATAGGAGACAACGGCTATCCAAAGCTTATTGACATGGGTTTTGCCAAGCGTATCTACAATCGACGAACCTACTCCATGTGTGGGACTCCAGATTATATGGCACCGGAGATAATTCGAAGACAGGGACATGGAAAGGCTGTCGATTATTGGGCTCTAGGCTGCCTCATCTTTGAGTTGATAACGAATACAAGCGCTTTTAATCGCGGGGAAGATCCTCCGCAGGTAATCAAGTATTTTCTGGTTTACTTCCTGACTTTGCACGGTGTTTCGTCCAGTTAGTGTTTCACAGGATCATAGACGGACGTGTCAAGTTTCCACCATATGTTAGCTCAGATTGTGCCGATATTGTACGGAAACTGCTGGACCCGAATCCTGAGACGCGGCTCGGCTGTCGAAAGCGAGGAGCTGCGGACATCAAGGAGCACCCCTTCTTCGCCAAGTCAGTCAATTTTCAGCTGCTGATCCGGCAAAAAGAAGAGCCTCCTGTAAGTTTTACTGAACTCATGCAAGTCACTCTACATTTCCCTTCTGCAGATGATTCCAGCAAAACTAGATAATTACACCAGCCTGTGCATACCCGACGAACCAAGCGATCCCATGGACGACTTGCCGGTGGACCCTTCGAACACAAAATGGGACGACATTTTCTGAGCCTCTGGTACATTTTTTTCTCTACCTATCCACGGTAAGTACGCGTAGCATTCGGTGTCAGAAGTTGAAGTTTCGGCAGTTTTGGCTCATAATTTGATAGTGGAGCAGTAGGATGAAGCAGCGAACACGGAGCCAGACGAGAGGTGACTTGAGCCTCCCGACGGTTGTCATCCTGGCCTTGACAACGAGCTCGCAGACCATCTCAAAGTTCTCGATGTCCCGGATGAGCGTGTAGCCGACGTTGAGCTCCAGGGGCGTGGTGGTGAGCTCCACGTGGACCAGGATGTCCAGCCGGGTGGCCCGGGGCACCACAAACTGGCGCACGATCGCCTTGCCGACGGGGGTGCCGCGGTAGAAGACGGTTGACTCCACGTACTCGTTGTGGATGTCCACGCGGGCGTTGACGTTGTGGTAGTCAATGAAGAACTCGGCATCAAAGTCAAGCTCGTACGAGAAGTAGAGGCCGCTGCGATGCAAGTCAATGGCGATCACGTCCAGGCCCATGTTGTAGTCCTTGATCATGAGGTGGGGGATCCGGGGGCGGAGGTGGAGGTAGACGAGGAGCATGGCGACCGCGACACCGAGCAGCAGGGCTGAGACGGCGAGCAGGGCCGAGGAGAGCGCGCTCCAGGCGCGGCGGCGGGTGGCGCTGGTCAGGTGTGCGAAGCGCTGCGTTTCCATGAGGCCCAGGACCACCGGCAGGGGATACACGGGGATCTTGCCGATCTTGACGCTGCGGAGAACGCCCCCCGGGAACCGGATCACTCGAGTGGAGCCGTCCTTGCCGGCGAGAACGAATCTTACCGACTTGTCTCCGGTAGTACTAGCAGGGGTGGCGGGGACTGCCACCGCTTTCGAGCTCGAGGCTGCTTTCTTCTTCAGGGCTGGGGGCGGGGGTGCTGTTGTTTTGATGGCACCGCGACGCTCCTCCAGTTTGGAGGCGCTGTCCGCTTTCTCGTCCTGGCCATCGACAATGAGGACGGCGGCACTCCGAGTGGTGGTGGTCTTCTCCATACGTTCTCGGAGAAGCTGAAGCTCGGGTTATAAGAATGGGAAATGCCACGTAGGCTAGCTACAAGTTCAACCGCCAGCGCAACCGCGACGGCAATGGGTTCCATCATCAGTAGTTGTAGTCCCTGCACAGCCGGTCGATCTTCTCGTCGGTCATCTCGATGGAGCAGCGGACCCGGTGCCAGAAGAAGCGCGACGTGATGATGCTGCCCAGCGTCGACATCCGCGCCTTGATGATAAACTCGCACACGTAGTCCACCCGCAGCGTCGCAATCTGCTTGAGCATGGTGTAGCCCACCTGCAGCGGCACCAGCAGCTCGTTGTAGATGACAAACTGGAGCGGCATGGTCGACTTGCGCGGCACCATGAAGTTGTGGACGAGCGACTTGCCCATGAAATGGCCCTGGTAGAAGACGGAGCTCTCCACGTAATAGTTGTAGAAGTCGACGGCGCTGTTGAGGTTGCGGTAGCTCACCATGAACATGCCGTAGACGATGCCCTTGTAGAAGTAGTAGTTCCCGCGGTCCTCCACCTGCTGCATCAACAGCGTGTCCTCGTCCAGCAGCTCGTACATGACGGACACGTCGAATTCGTCGATGCGGAGGTGGGGGATGCGCGGGCGGAGGTGAAAGTAGAGCGCCAGCAGCACCATGCAGACGAGCAGCGCCAGCGCGGAGAGAATGGTCCCGGCCACGCCCAGAACGTGGCACGCCTTTCCGCGGCCGCGGCCCGAGAAGTGGCGGAAGCGCTCCGTTTCCATGAGCCGGAGCACCAGCCACAGCGGCGGGTCTGGGTACACTCGGACGCTGCTGTGCTTGATGGTGTTGCGCCGCACCCGCTGGACGCCGGGCAGGAAGATGCGCATGCGCGGCTTGCCGGACACCGCGTCGATTGTGGGCAGCAGGAACCTCACCACCTTTGGTGACTCGAGCGACGCCTTCTTCTTCTCGCCGGGGCCATCGTCGTCGTCGAACCGGACCTTGGCCTTGCTGGGACTGCTGCCGCCACTGGTGCCGCGGGCGAAACGGACCGACTTCTTCTTCTTGGGTGTGGCTGCGGCGTCGGCGAACCTCACCAGCTTCACTTGGACTTTCTCTTCGTCGTCGTCTTCTTCTGATTCGTCGAATTCGGGTGCGTGGAATCTCACTGCCCTCTTGGCCGATGTTGCAAGGGGTTTCTCTATCGCTGCAAACCTCAAGGCTCTTGTGCTCGCCTCTTGAAACTCGTCCTCGTCATCATCCGATACAAGTGTTTCAGTTGCTGCTGCTGCTGCAAACCTCACCAGCTTTGAACTTTCGTTCTTTACAGTATCACCATCGGCTGCTGGAGAAGTCGCCACCTCCTGAACGTTTTCGTCATCGTCCTCGCTTTGTGCTGCAAAGCCCACCACCTTTGAGCTCGGCTCGGCCGCCACCTCCTCCGCTTCCAAAGCATCATAAACCTCTTCTTCTTCGTCTTCTCCTTCTGCTTCTTCGGCATTTTCCACGGGGCGAACTTTGGACTGCTGCGCAAGATCGATCTTTGCTTCGGAACGTATAGCGGGTGCTGGCCGCGGAAGCAAACTCCAGACCTTGTCATCGTCAACTCCCCACGGGTCACTGTCGGAAGAATCAGAAGAAGAAGACGGCGGCTCGTGCTCGGGTACCGTGTGATCTCGTCGATCCACACCAATCTCCGCGGCCTCGGGTATTGTTTGATCGCGTGACCCCGATCCTCTTTCCAAGACAATCTCCAGCGGCCGCCGCCTCCTTTTGGGGATGGATATGTGCAGCACACTGTCGCGTCCCAGCGTCAAGGTGGCCTGCCCGGTTGTGGGCATCACAATTCGCCCGTCGTCATCGCTGCCGGAGCCGCCCAGATCAAAGAACTCGTCCCCGTCGTAAGTGATACCTCGCTCCTCGTCTCGGTCGTCCATGGCAGCCACGCACGCCTGCCCCTGCGAATCCCAGCGTACAAGAACACGGAATATGCCATGAGAAGGCCGCGCCGCATATTCCTTGGGTCTATTTCCCGCCAAGGCTCTATGCCCCGTTTATTGCGCACAAACAAATGTCTTGTTCTCGAGTCACTCTTGCAGGGTGGCGAGCAGCTGCCGCCATCTGGGAGGCTCCTCGTCGAAGATGTACGTGAGGGGCGAAACAAGGACGCCGCTGCCGCAGATCTGCAGCACCAAGAAAGCTCAGAGACACTGGTTTTGCATGCTTTGAGCTTTTACCTTTCTCAGCTCGTTCACCGCATCGTAGAGTTGCCTCTTGTGCACACAGATTGCCACCGCGTAGTACTGTACCTTGACACCATCACCAGCATCTGGAAGGCTATACACCGGACTGATCGTAGGCCCCTGAAAGAAAAGTGAAAGGAAATCATGCGAAAAAAAGTGCTTTTACTCTTTTACCTGGAGGCCCGAGAGGCGTGTGTGCCGAAGGACAAGCTCGGCAACATGCTCTTGCGACTCCCCACGCATGTTTCCAGTCAGCTACGTTGTTCGTCATAAGGAAACTCAAGACAAGAAATGCGATTCAAAGCGAAAGAGTTACCAGGAACTGACTCTTGGCTCGCAGGTGAGCTTCCAAGCGCTCCAGCATCTCCCGCGTCACGTCCAGGGCACCCTTGCGCTTGAGCAACGCTCGCTTGCTCGCAACCAGCACGCCCTGGACAAAACTCGAGCGTGGAGACGAGACTGGTTTGAAAGCAAACATGGAACCTGGCTTTTGATGAGCGTTCCACCCTCGATTTCCTTGAGGTTGTTCTCTCGCAGCGTCGTCCCGCTGCTGACAAGGTCCAGGATCGCATCAGCCGTTCCCATCTGACGAGACAAACGACGGTTTTGTGTTAGAAGGAAGCGCGCAAAGCTTCAACTGGTGGACGTGCTCCGAAATCTTCTTACAGCCGGAGCCGCTTCTAATGCGCCATCCGCAGTGGAGAGCTGGATGTGCTCCAGTCCCTTGGCTTTCAATAAGCGACTAGCGAGCTGCAAAAAGAGAATTTCTTCTTTGCTATTCAGCGAGAAACTCATCGTCTTACGTAAGTGAAGCCAGTCACTATTCGCAACGGACGGCTTGACGTCCACTGCGGCATGGCAGCCAAGTCTGAGACGGAGGAAACGTTCTCAAAGATGCCATACTTGGGAATCTACACAGCACAGCAAGATGATCAGCCACTTGATGGATGGAAAAAACAACCAGGAACTTACGCCGAGGCCGAGATGGCACTCGCCGAACCCAAGCTGGTCGTGGACGACAACCAAGTCCTCGTTGTCCTGGCCAGAGAAAGAGAAAGGCGCTAAAGACTTGCGAGCGAGCGAACGAGCGAGCGACACTCACCTGGCCGTGCTCCGCAACCACGTCGTAGCCCACGATTCCCAGATCAATGTCGCCGGCCAGCATCTTCCTCACCACATCCGATTCCCTCTGGAACCACACTTCCAGGTTTTGGAGCTGGATTACGAACGACCGCACGCACGAGTGAGATTTGCAAAATCACAGGATCGTACATACCTCGGTGATGTCGGCCACGTACTGGCGAGGATTGGGCTTACACACGGAGAGGTGGCAGTCCTAGACACACGGAAGAACACAAGCCACATTAGAGCCAAGAAACTTAGAAGAAAACTTGAGACTTTGAGGAGATTGAGGGTCCCTTCGGCCATTCGTCCCTTGCTGGGGAGTCCCAAGCGCACAGTCGTGCGCGAGGAGGAGCCTGAGGAGGAGGAGGAAGAGGAGGAGACGTCCCAGGGGCCGGACACTCGCTCCACCTGGACCACATTGAAGACGGCGGCCATGGCCACACCTCCTCCCATGATTTAGGGTTTAAACAAATGCTGGACGCCACCACCACCGCTCTCTATGGCCAGCCTCCGCCAGCCTCAGGGCCGCCCGCCAAGCGGAGGATCAAGTACGTCGAGTATGGCGACTACCGAGTGGTAATGCAATGCTAGTTTCTTCCTCTCATGGGTTGGATTGGAGCTGCATTGCATTGGCGCAGAAGAAGGTGAATGCCCGGGAGCTCGAGAAGCTCGTCTTTGGCAGCAAAGGCCGGTTGGAATTGCCCGCGGTGGTGGACTTCTACGCAACCTGGTGTGGCCCGTGCATTCCAATGGCTCAAGCGCTGGAACAAGTAAGCTGTCGAGTTTCATCCTTCCATCGCCCATCTTTTCCTCTCAGCTCGCGGTCGAGTTCTCCAAAAAAGTCCAGTTTCTCAAGGTGGACACGGATGAGGAGTACGAGCTCGCCCATCAGCTCCAGGTAAAACTGAAAAAGACACTCTTGCTGGCCAAAAAAATGCGACTTTTATTCTCAGCTGCGAGGACTGCCGACGCTGCTGTTTGTGACCAAAAACCTGGACAGGGATCCAGTCGTCCGGACAGAAGGCCTGCTACCTCTCGAGGTGCTCCGGGACATTATTGAGCAAGAACTGGATGTCCAGAGAGACAAAGTGAGTGAGATCTTCCTGTAAAATGGAATGGAATACACGCACACGCACCTCATCTCGTTAGCCTGCCACGGCTTCCACTGCCGTAGCATGCTTGTGGTAGACGTCGAGTAGCATTCTCCTGCAGTGCACCACTGCCCCGAGCTTGATGCATGCCAGAAACGCTCCAGACAACTTCCTGTGGAGGCTATAGGCCTCGTCGGGTGGTGGCTTCAAGCGATGTCTCAGCATCGTTGCCCCCAGCGCGGAGACGCGGGACGTGAGATTTGAACTGCGGAAGTCGTAGCCTCCATCCTCTGAAAACGGCAGGCCGACCACAAACGCTGCCTCCGTGTGTGCATCCAGCATCACGTCTGCTTCCTCGCCGGTTAAGAAGCCAAGCTTGATGGACATGTCCACGACTTTGCCCCGGTCTCTGTTGGCACACGCCATAACCTGATGCGCTACTCTGTTAGTAGGATAGGAGAACGAAATGCAGTCCTGGATTACCATTTGTAAGTAGTCGTCTACGAAGCGTTTTGGATAGTGTCGAGCAGCACCAAAATCTATCAAGTTGATCCGTTTCGAACCCTCATCGTATAAGAAGTTGCTCCAGTTTGGATCCGTCTGGGAAGACAACAGTTAAATAAGTTAGAAACAGGAGGGGAAGAAAAAGTAGGCTTGCCTGCATGAAGCGAAACTCAAACAGCTCCCTCAAGGTCAGGTTCAAAAGCTGACTGGCTACGTGGTTCCGAACGCTCTGCTCCATCGTCGCAACCTTATCGATCGAAACACCTGCAAATAAGGAGTGTGAGCTTTCCAAACTACATGCTTTGTCTGCACCTGGCACGAACTCAGTTGTCAACACGCGCTTGCTGCTCAACTCGTCATACACGACGGGAACATAAAACTCCTGCTCGCCTGCTAGCAACTCCTTGAACTTTTTCTGACTTGCTGCTTCCACATAGTAGTCGCATTCCAACGCCAGCTCAGATTTCGCAACCTATATACACTAAGGCTCAAGCGATCCTGTAAAGCGTTCCTGTTTATCCAAATCTCACCTTGATAGCCTGGTCAAGGTACAAACCCCGGGGTAAAAGATTGGTGCGCTCCAGCAGCCATTTGACATTGTCTATGTCACTGTCAATGCTCTTGGCAACGCCAGGATATTGTATCTTCATCACCGCCAGCTGACCTCCTTTTAACGTTGCTCGGTGGACCTGATGCGAGAAAGCAATGGGACAAGAAAAGAATGACAATAGTCGCACCTGTCCAATGCTTGCAGCAGCCATAGGCTGATCATCGAAAATTTGTAAACGTTCTCTCCACTCCGGCCCGAGCTCAGCGACAAGCACCTCATGCAACTGCTGCTTGGGCATAACATCAGCACCTTGACGAACAGTCTCGAGAGCAGCCAAAATCTATAGCAAAAGAAGGAAAAGAGAGTTAATGAGCACTCACAAGCACTGCAGGGCCCTTTTGCAAATTACCACCAAGAAACTACCGGTGCAGGAATGATCGTCTCGTCCTGGATGCTAAGCATCTGTCCGAGCTTGAGAGCTGCCCCGCGCATCCGGCACAGGCCAAGAGCAAGACGCTCGGCATTCTTGTCGCTCAGGAACGGGGAGAGCAGCGCATCGCCACCGGATTGCCCCTGGCCCGACCACGCTCGTTTCACGGATTCCTGGACAGTGCCCCATGCAAGCCCAGCTCCCATTCCAGCAAAGCTGTCACAGAGGAAAGTTTAGTTGTTCTTTTGGATAGAAACTAGACTCACCCCATGATCCTGCCCATGGGCGTCGATGGGACGCGCCTCTCTCGCGGCTTCCTCACCTTGCGGGCGGGCTTGAACTGGGAGAGATGCTCGTTACCGGCTGTTAGCGGCGGCGGCGGTGGCGGCAGTGGCGGAGGTGGCGGTGGCGCCACTGAAATTCTCTCACCGTCCACCGCATCGATGGGCTTCTGCTTCGATTCTACTCGTACCTCAGCTTGCGGGCGTGGCGATTGGTGATGATGCGATGCCACAGGCGCCGCGATGGCGTGATGGATGCGGCCCCTGGTCAATCCGGCGAGATCAGTGAGCGAGACGAGCAAGGAGGAGGAGGATCTGGCGGAGGTGAGGAGCTCGCGCGCCACCAATGCGCAGCCCAGCGCCAGCTTGGCCGCATCCTGCAACATTCGTTCGTGCCCTAGCCTAGACCTAAAAATTCACGCCCAGGCAAAGGGCAAAAAGAAACCCCAAGGGAAAAAAATTTAAGAGGAAAGGTCGGGAAGAGAACGCGGCGTTTATAGGCCAAGCTAAGGCTCCGATTTTTAGGGTTTGTGGCGGAAGGAGGGAAGAGGGCTCAAGCTGCTGCGTGGTTGCGCCGAGCTTGGCGGCGCATGGAGCAGCGAAGAATTGGAGATCCGCGACTGTAAGCTGCGGCGCAGGCGCTTGGCTCCTTAGGTCGTCCGGCGGGGCATTGTAGGGTTTTAGGCTCGGCAGCCATGACGATGAACGATAGGAAGGTAATCGAGTTGGAGCAGGGATGGGCGTTCATGCAGAAGGGCATCACCAAGTTGATCAATCTGCTCGAGGGAGTGGCGGAGCAGCAATTCAACTCAGAGGAGTATGCCATGCTTTACACGTATGCCATTCCTCTCTCTCCTCTTTCCATCTGACCGACACTTCCCTTTTCTGTCCACTGCAGGACTATCTACAACATGTGTACCCAAAAGCCTCCCCAGGACTACTCGCAGCAGCTCTATGATCGATACAGAGAAGCTTTTGAGGAGTACATCAATTCCATGGTACTGATGATACGCTTTGTTTCTTGCAGCTGCTAACACTATCAATCACAGGTCATGCCCGCGCTCCGAGAGAAGCACAACGAGTTCATGCTCAGGGAGCTGGTCCAACGATGGGACAACCACAAGATAATGGTCCGATGGCTCTCTCGCTTCTTTAACTACTTGGACCGCTACTTCATTGCTAGACGCTCGCTTCCAGCCCTCGGTGAAGTTGGACTAATGTGTTTTAGGGACTTGGTTGGTATTCTCTTTCGTTTGAGCTGCTTTGGCTTATCGCTCGCTTACAGGTGTATCAAGAAATGAAAAACAACGTGAAAGATGCTGTGATCACCTTGGTAAGTGGAAACTTGTGTGTCGTTTTACATGACTTACGAGTTGCCGACAGATCGACAGAGAGCGTGAAGGCGAACAAATTGACAGGGCATTGCTTAAAAATGTTCTGGGAATCTTTGTGGAGATCGGCATGGGGAGCATGGAGGCGTATGAAGCTGACTTCGAGGCTCCCATGCTACAAGACACCGCGGCATACTACTCTCGAAAAGCAGCGTCATGGATTGAGGAGGACTCTTGTCCGGACTACATGCTCAAGGTATCGAGGTGCATTCTTGTCTTCGTCATACACATTTGTCGCATTGCAGGCGGAGGAATGCCTGAAAAGGGAGAAGGAAAGAGTTGGACACTACTTGCACTCAAGCAGTGAATCGAAGCTACTCGAGGTAAATGATTTTTACGGTTTGAAAACTGATTTCACAAGGACCGTTCGTGTGGTGAGCAGAAAGTACAACAAGAGTTACTTTCACAGTACGAGCAACAGCTCCTTGAGAAGGAACATTCTGGCTGCCATGCTTTGTTAAGGGACGATAAAGTACGATTTCACTCCTCTGTGGCTCAGCAGACTAACATTGATTCTCCAGGTGGAAGATTTATCGAGAATGTACAGGCTTTTCTGTCGCATCCCGAAAGGGTTGGAGCCCGTTGCTGCAATCTTTCGAATGGTATTGCGTGTAAAATCTTTGTTGACAATTGATATATGTGTGTGTATGACAGCACGTAACGGAGGAGGGAACTACACTAGTCAAGCAAGCTGAAGATGCCGCCAGCAGCAAAAAGGCTGATAAGAAGGATACTGTTGGTGTTCAGGAGCAGGTATTGTGTCGCCTTTTAATTTTGTCCATAGATGCTATATCTTAAATGTTCTCCCCAGGCTTTTGTTCGGAAAGTGATTGAGCTGCATGACAAATATTTGCAATATGTCAGCGAGTGCTTTGTTAATCATTCCCTTTTCCACAAGGTAACTTGCGAACGTTTTCCTAGTTTAAACAGCGTGTCCTTTGTTTTAGGCTTTGAAAGAAGCATTTGAGGTCTTCTGCAACAAAGGTGTTGGGGGAAGCACAAGTGCTGAGTTGCTAGCAACTTTCTGCGATAACCTCTTGAAGAAAGGCGGGAGTGAAAAGCTTAGCGATGAAGCCATTGAAGACACGCTCGAGAAGGTATGCTCATGAAGCTGTCACTGATTTGTACTGATGTAGCAGAACGGTACAGGTCGTCAAACTTCTCGCGTATATCAGCGACAAGGACCTCTTTGCCGAGTTTTACAGGTTACAAAAGCTGTTCTTCATTTCTAGTTTCTGACACTTTCATATCCAGAAAGAAGCTTGCGCGGAGGCTTCTCTTTGACAAGAGTGCGAACGACGATCACGAACGCAGCATACTGACCAAGTTGAAACAACAATGCGGTGGTCAGTTTACATCGAAGATGGAGGGTATGGTATGTATCCATCAGTCTTACCACTTCGGTTCACGCATGACTCACGCATGTATTCAGGTTACTGATTTGACCCTGGCGAGAGAGAACCAAACTCTCTTCGAGGAGTATCTGTCCGAGAATCCTCAGTCCAACCCGGGTATTGACCTGACGGTGACGGTCTTGACGACAGGATTTTGGCCGAGCTACAAGTCTTCAGACCTTGCTTTACCATCCGAAATGGTACAGTGCATTGTCTCGTTTTGTTTGTGATAACGATGCTCAATCGGCAGCTTGCAGGTCAAGTGTGTTGAGACATTCAAGGAATTCTACCAAACCAAGACAAAGCACAGAAAGCTGACCTGGATATATTCCCTGGGAACGTGCAACATTGTTGGGAAGTTTGAACCCAAGCAAATAGAGCTCGTTGTCACAACGTACCAGGTGAGCCTATTGCTTATGGAGCATACAAACCTAAAAACATGCTCGCAGGCTGCCGTACTACTGCTGTTCAATGCTGCCGAAAGGCTGAGCTACTCAGATATCAAAGGGCAACTAAACCTTACCGACGAGGATATCGTCCGACTTTTACATTCGCTGTCTTGTGCCAAGTATAAGATCCTCAACAAGGAGCCTAACACCAAGACAGTTAGTGGGAGCGACACCTTTGAGTTCAACTACAAGTTCACGGACAAGATGCGCCGAATCAAGGCAAGCTGTCTAAAATATCTTGCAGTCTTGTGATCTTAAGACGTTTGTGACTCCAGATCCCGCTGCCTCCAATGGACGAGAAAAAGAAAGTCATCGAGGACGTGGACAAGGACAGGCGCTATGCGATCGATGCCTCCATCGTTCGGATAATGAAGAGCCGGAAAGTGCTTCCCCACCAGCAGCTTGTTCTCGAGTGCGTTGAGCAACTAGGGAGGATGTTCAAGGTAAACTTTTGTCAATTTCGTTTGTTTGCTTCGCTCATCTGGATACTCCTGAAACAGCCCGATTTCAAGATCATAAAGAAGCGGATGGAGGACCTCATTGCCCGGGAGTATTTGGAACGGGACAAGGATAATCCCAACATGTTCAGATACCTGGCGTGAGGCTGTTGATAAAAATCGCGTGTATTCATTTTGGATGGTTTTTTCTTCTTTTTCCTCTTTTCTTGACTATAAAAATCGACGACTTTACACGCTATCGTAATGAAGGAAGAAGTCTTTAAAGAAGCAACAAAATAAAAAGACATGGGAGAAAACCGTAGGATTCGAGTGGCGAGCTAGCCAACGTCCATCCTATAAATTATTGTACAAGGAATCGTAACTAGCTGCTTGCGGTACCTTCTCAGCCTCTCTGGAGCTCCATACGGTTTACTGCAGTGAGAGGAATCCTGGTTTCCCGCTTGGCTGCTTCCAAGGATGTGAATGCTTTCGCGCCTTCTTTTGCCATGGCATTTTCTTGCCTTGGATGCTTCCTGGGGCTGTGCTTGTCTTGAAACTCCTGCAGCAGGACATCCGAGTGTGGTGCTCGTAGTTGCTGAATGCACGCGCTCGTAGGAATCTCGATTGAACGCTTTCTTGGTGTCGTACACGTCGGTTGATCCTCCTGCCAAGCAGAGAGTCAGTTGTTAGTTAACAAGCTCAGGACGTACACAAGTGTACCTTATATCTGCTTGACAGATACGTGTCCGCGGTGCCCGTTATTTCTTCCACGCTCTTGGTGTGCTCCATTTCCATGTCTTTCAGCTGTCGGCAATGCGATCCAATATGCGATTGGACACTCAAGAGCACCTCATGCTCAGTGGCATGGACATCTGTATATACCAAGAGTTAAAAGAATGTACCTGGCAGCTAGCTACACAGGGAGGAAGAAGCTTACTGTTGGTATGCGTCGAAATGGATCCTATCTCCGACGACACTTCTTCTTGCGCCAACATGTTTGCGGCGCCCAAGGTTGTCGAGAATAGACACTCCGATTTGTGCGCTTCCCTGAAACAAACGTAGATATTACCATGCACAGGAAGCGTTGAATGGCAAAACGAACTCGAATATTGCAGCAACCACAGGAACGTTGTTTTCTCCAAGAACTCGCAAAGAGCCCAAGGACGATTTCCATTTGTCTGCGGCAACACCGGTATCTTTGACACTGGGAACAAGGAGATCAGCTCAGCGCAAGTATGTTCAACGCAAATGTACCTTTGCTGAAGAAGCTCCTCCATGTGACAGTGTCTGGCTGCCAGCAAAGCAGACGCATCACGTGCATTGACATCAGCTTCCTTTACAAAGATGTTAAGACGGTCCTCTGTATGAGAAACGGCCACTTGAGTGTCAAGAACACTTTTGCGTATGCATTGTGTATCCTTTGCAGAAGCCTCCATCAAAGAGTTGATCCGCTCAGCCACCTACACCACGAAAGTAAATAAAACTAAAGCTATCAAAGATTATACTGGACATTACCATTTTCTTACTTCGATCCATAACACTAACCAGCAAGGTGCTGATTTCGTCTTGCAGGTGTTTCTCTTCTCTTTTAGACATTTCCTGTCGTAAGAAGTTAAATCAGATCGATCTTATGCATAAATGCTCAACGCACCTGATACTCGAGTGAAAGGCCAGAAAGAAGCTCATGGCGAGTCTTATGAGTTTCATCAATCATACGACCCATTTCAGTAACATCTTCTCTCAACTTCCCACAAAACTCCACCATCAGAGTCAGGACCGCGCTTGCAGCTTCTGCATTGTGACGGCAGCTCTGCGCAGCAGATAGTTAACTCAAGATCATTCTAATAAGGTGAACACAGACCTCTCTTTGCTGCTGTGCAAACAAAGCCAGTTCACGCTGCTGCTCAGAAAGATGCGATTCGAACATTTCCAGAGTTCCATCGGCTTGTGAAGCAACGGCAGAAAGTAGCTGAAACACGAACACAAAATATAAAACAAGTAAAAAGAAAAACGTTCTCACATCTGAAGTAGAAGCGTAATGAGTTGAAACAGCTGTCTGAATCTTGTCCAAAGTATGAACGGCATCTTGCTGGTGTTCTCCAACAATACCATGAACAGACTGAAGTCTAGAACAACAGGTTCTCTTCAAGCCTTCCAACCTCTCTTTCAAATCGTCAACATTCTAGAAACACAGAAACGAAAATCAAAATCAATGCGGAACCAAAATAACAGCCGCACCTCATTCCTGGAAGACATAAAACTTCCCAGTTGTTGTTCAAGCGCTTGCAATTGCTTTTGCTGCTGAGACAAAAATGTGCCTAATGAACAATTTAGGGACTGAAGGTGCACAGAAAGCTCTTCACGAAACGTCCCGACTAGTTTTTTGTTGTACGACTCCAAACTGCCCTTTCTCTCTGAACAAAGTATAACGATGGTGATACCCAATAAACTTGCAACCAACACACCTATTTTTTGGAATAAACCGTCAATCTCCTTAGCTGCAGTTTCTAAGTCGCCACAAAGCTTGCACGCTTGTTCGACCAGAACAGTCTCTGCAGCAGAAAGTTTGTGCAACTATTAAATTCGAAAATACAACAAACCTGCATCCTGTTGCCGAGAAATGACAAATTCACGACCATGAACTGCGTAAAGGGTTTGCCTAAGATTTTCTTTTGTCGTCGAAAGAGTTTCGACAGTTTCCTCAAGTGTAGCCTGAAAGCCACGAATATTGAAGTGTATATAGCAATAAGAACAAAAATCAAACCTGCGTCTCGTCAAGCTTTGCTTGTAGTTCGGTGTTGTGCTGTTGCCTTCGTTCACATAACTCTTGAATCTCATCTAGATGCTGTAGCAAAGAAAAACACATATTATGTCGGAAATACAGGTCATTTTTACCTTGTCTTTCGTTTCAATCTCGTACTCCATATGTTCAATACGCTCTGTCATTGCCTGACAAGAAACTCTTCTAGAAGGCATGAAGGTTGAGTCAAAAATCATACCTTCTTGTCAGCTTCGTCTTGATAGTAGCGTTCACGAGGCACATAGATGCCATTTTTCTCCCGAGCAGCATAAACCTCTGCTCCATAAATCAGTAAACACATAAGAGAAAAACAAAACCCCACCTGATTTCAGTCTTTCAATTTCTCCATAGAGGTCCTTTATCAGTGCAGACTTCATCATCTTTTGATTAACCTATGCCAAGAGAAGAGATCGGAATTGCGGTAACATTTTACAATGCTCGTACCTCTGGTTTGTTCCTGATGTTCTTAGCTCGATGAGCATAATCCAACGTGCTGAGTGTTTCCTCTAGGCAGTGCACAGACGGAGATACGGTGGCAATAATGCACGTTTTTGTTCTGCCGCCCAAAGAGTCTCGTAAAAGCCTCGTGAGCTTACTGTCCCTGTTCAAACCACCATTATATTTAGCAAAGCAGTAAGTACGGTTCTTCGTTTCTTCGTAGTCAGTCACTAACCTGTATGGAATGTGGCCGAGATGTTCAACAAGGGCAGTTATGACCCGTCCAAGCGTCAGTAGACTCTTATTGATTTCTCCGGCTTCTCTAGCACGCCCCTGACAACAAACCATGGGAGTCATGTCATGATCACTGACTAGAGCCACACTCACCTCCCTAGCTCCAGAGCGGCAAATATTCTCTGAGCCAGCCAAGTCGACTAAGTTCAGCTTGCCACATTTTATTAACTCCTCGCCTTCAGGTGTTGCTTCTTTGATATGAATCGTGATTGAAAATATGGAATGTGAACGGCTGCAACAACACAAAGAATACAGGTTCGTACTTAGCCAGATCCTTCTAGGGGCGTACCTCGATTGCTTGTTTAGAAGCGTTTCTGCTGTTCGCCTTTTAGAAGATCCCCGATCAAGAAGGCTGTAAATTTCGTTTGCACTGGTCACGATTTCCTCTTCAAGACCCCGGACAAGTACTCCTCCCTTCCCGTCCTCCATCAGAGCCAAAGGCTTTTTCTGCTTCTCGTCTCCCATCACCTTCGAAAGCTCCTCAGGTGCGAGCAAGTCTGTGATTTCTTCGTTGTAAAGTTCCAGAAACGTGACTTTGACACTGTACTCGGCATTCTGGCTTTCTAGCGTGTCAAAGATTTGTTGAACCGCTCTTGGAATAACTCCAGCTTCAGAAGGGAGTTCCCCGCTCTGGAACCATAAAGATGAGATAGGACATTCTAGATAAGAAAGGCATCGATATTCATACCTTGGGTTTTCTTCCTGCTCCCTCCATAGTGTAAGTTTTCCCCGTTCCGGTCTGTCCATACGCAAAAATGGTACAGTTGAAGCCTTCGAGAACTTCGTTCACAATGGGAATGATTGCTTGATCATACAAATCGCGCTGCTGAGAAGAAGGACCAAAGACCTGCACTTACGTGGGTTTGAGCTTTCCTCGCGGCGGAAGAGCAAAGAGGGAAAAAAGAAAAGAGAGAAAGGGACGAGGTACCTTGTCAAATGTGAATGTCCTGTCAATTTGCTTGCTGGCGATGTTCTGGTACACAGTGACCTCGCGGCGTTGGTCGTGGCAAGAGATGACTTGGGGCGCATTCGCCTTGATCTCGTCGTCATTGAAGGGCCTGGAGTAGCAAGAGCAGAGAGATGGGCAGCGGCGGAGGCCAGATCAAGCATTCTCTTACCTGCATCGCAGTAGAACCTGGACATTGACGCCCTTGTCCTTGTCTTTCTCGTGGCGGCCCGCCATGGCCGACGGCGAGAAGCTTGCGATCCTGCTCGCCACAGCTGCGTCGATCGATGGATGCCCTAACCTAGACAGCCACGAGCAAGACACCACTTTCCCGCTTCTCCGCCTCGCCAAAGCTTTTAGGCTATCAGGGCTCCAACGGAAAGAAATATTTCAAACGATTGGGGCTAAAGTGTGTCGAACCCGTGACCTATGGGCGCATTTTAGGGCATGGCTTCCTCCTTGTGTGCTCCAAGGGCGGTAGCAGTCAAGGGGAGCGCGGGCGAGGCATGGGCGAATGCGTCAATCCTTCACCAAATGCGGTGCAATGCCGGCATCGCACCACGGATTTCCGGCTCCTTCGACGGCAAAACAGGGAGATCGGGCGATCCGTTGTGGTGAAGAGTATGTCTAGCTCCCAGTCTCAAACGGATGATCTCATCAAGAGCAAGAACGAGCACAATCCCGTTGTCATTTACTCCAAGTCGTGGTGCCCGTAAGTTTTCTCCAAAGTTTCTCTCTCTCATGTTATTTTACTCGGGACTTGATTTGTGTGTTGAGACCAGCTATTGCAGCAAGGTGAAGGGCCTGTTTAAGAAGCTGGGAGTGAAGGTGGTGGTCGTGGAATTGGACGAGCTCGGTGACTGGTTTTTCTCTCTGTAGCTCGTCTCTTGGATCCGACTCGAAGATCTGATGGTTTGTTTCGGATTTGTGTCTTAGTTGAGGAGGCGGACGTCCAGGCAGCCTTGAAAAGAATGACCGGGCAATCAACGGTGCCCAACGTGTTTATTGGTGAGCAAACTCTTTGCTTGCTTTGTCTAATGAATTCCTCCCTCCGTGGCATTCTCAGGTGGAAAGCATGTCGGGGGATGCGATGGTATGTTACAACCAAGTACTTGGATCTTGTTCTACCGTAGAATGACTTCCTTTTCTTTCTTCCAATTCCAATCTGTCTGTCTACAGATACGCATCGCCTTCACAGTCAGGGGAAGCTCATCCCGATGCTGCAGGGTGCCAAGGCTCAAATGCAGGGATGAATAAAAAGAGATTTGAGAGAGTTTTAGGGGGCTCGTCGTGTAGCCGCTGAGCGAGCTGCTTATCAGCAACAAAGGCGACAGGAGAGAAATGAGCGGACGAGGAGGGATATGTGTGTGTCGCCATTGGCTCACTGGAGTTTCAATAAAAATAAATAACGTGGGAGACGGAGACCTTAAAATTAAAACAGCCTACTATTCCTACTAGTTATTTAGAGGCGCAGGGAGAAGGAAGGCAGGAGGAGGAGAGGAGCAACAACGAGCAATGGCAATGGTGGGCGCAGCAGCCGCACCCTTGTGTACGTGGCTGATTGCGGCGTGCCTCACCCATGGGATCTGCGGCGGAGACCTCAATTCCTCCTCCATTTCAATGGCTCCGCCTCCCGCTGGCAGCAGGAGATCCAGGCGACGAGCTCGCGATCTACAGCAGCTCCACGCCACCGCCAGCGCCGCCGCCGCCGCCCCCCCAACATCCATGGCAGGAGCTGTGGTCGCGCTTTACGAATCAGGTCTGTCGTGCCTCTCTTTCGAGGCATGCCCCGAGTACCATCGCTCCGCAAAGTGGTCTCCCTCCTTCTTCGCTGCCGCTCCCTCGTCGTCGTCGTCGTCGTCGTCCAGGCCGTCTAGGAGACGAGGTCCTCGAGCAACAGCAGCAGCACCAGGTACGCTCGCATTTCTATCGCATTCGTATCGAGGTCACTGCTCTTGTTTGACTTGGTGTTGCTTGTCACTGGTACCACTTAGTGCTGCTAAGTCGATCGTGGCGAGCTCAGCCTGCAAGCCTTGGTTGCATGCATGCATGCATGCACGCACGCACGAGAATGAGATTTTGGATTTTGCATTGGAAGAATGGTTGCTCATTGCTCACTAGTGAATCTCGCTATGGATTGCAGCAGGAAGAAACATGGCAGTGGCTGTTCAACCTATGCAACCTGTGCAACCTGTCAAGGAGAGCGTGGAGAGGAAAGTTGTGGCGACCAAGAAACGGAGGGTCGTTGTCACGGGAATGGGTGTTGTGTCCTGCCTTGGACACGAGCCGGATGCTTTCTACGAGAATCTGCTCCGAGGCACAAGTGGAATAACAGAGATCGAGAACTTCGACTGCAAAGATTTTCCTACTGTAAGGATCCTGGAACTCGATTCACTCTTTGTTTTATTTACTCTTGTCTCTTTGCACCAGAGGATTGCCGGCGAGATCAAAGACTTCTCGCCCGATGGTTGGGTGGCCCCCAAGTTTTGTAAGCGCATGGACAAGTTCATGCTCTACTTGCTCACGGCTGGCAAGAAAGCTGTAGCGGACGCTGGAATGACTCGGGACGTGATAGACCAGCTCGACAAGACGAAGTGCGGGGTTCTCATTGGTTCTGCAATGGGAGGCATGCAGGTGTGTGTGTGTGTGTGTGTGTGTGTGTGTGTGTGTGTGTGTGTGACCACTAAAGTCTCTTTCTTTCTGTTGTTAGTCTACTCTTAACTCTTGTCGTGGCTCTGTTTTTCCCTTGCGTTGTGCCAGGTGTTTAGCGATGCAATCGAGGCTCTCAGAGTGTCATACCGCAAGATGAACCCGTTTTGTGTTCCGTTTGCGACAACAAATATGGGTTCCGCGATGTTAGCGATGGATCTGGTATGTACGCGTTGGAACGGCAAAACACAGAGTTAACGGATTTCATTTTCTGACCAGGGATGGATGGGGCCGAACTACTCCATCTCGACGGCCTGTGCAACCAGCAACTATTGCATGTTGAGCGCCGCCAATCACATTGTCAGAGGCGAAGCGGTAACGAGAGATTTGATCGAGTTAGAATCTTTTTGACACAATTATAGAAAGCCTTTCTGCACAGGACGTGATGCTTGCTGGTGGATCTGATGCAGCCATCATTCCTATTGGTATGTCATTCTGGACACTACGTGTCCAGTGTTGCTGCGTGAACTGACTGCTCAACTTCATCCACTGTAGGCCTCGGAGGATTTGTTGCCTGCAGGGCATTGTCTCAGCGCAACAACGAACCATCAAGAGCTTCTCGCCCGTGGGATGAGGTGAGTTGCATGCACTTGTGCACAGTGGCAGAGTTTTTACTATGTAGCAATGGTTTTGCAGGGCCGAGACGGGTTTGTGATGGGGGAGGGTGCGGGCGTCATCGTCTTGGAGGAGTTGGAACACGCCAAGGTGGGTCTTTGAACGTTTGCAGTCGAGGAGTGTGAACAATCTAAACAATGCAGAGGCGAGGTGCCGAGATATATGCGGAGTTTCTAGGCGGAAGTTCGACTTGCGATGCGTATCACATGACGGAGCCCCATCCCGAAGGTGCTATACCTGTTAAATGTTATTTATTTTTTCCTTTTCTTTTTGAATTTCTTCTTTATAACCGTGTTCAAGCAGGCGCGGGTATCTTGCTCTGCATTGAGAAGGCGCTGGCCCAAGCTGGCGTCGATAGACAAGACGTCAACTATGTGAATGCTCATGCAACTTCCACCCGGGCTGGCGATGTCCAGGAGTACAAGGCTATTATGCGGTGCTTCGGCAGTAATTCCGAGGTACTCTTCAACAGAACGAGCTTCATTCGGTAACGCTCATTTGCGTTGTGGCGCAGATTAAAGTCAACTCCACGAAGTCCATGACAGGGCACTTGCTAGGAGCAGCAGGGGGTGTTGAGGCGATTGCAACGATTCAGGTACTTGCCTTCAAATGTTTCAGGATTAAAGTGAAAAGTGCGTGTGTGTTCTAGGCAATCCGAAGTGGATGGGTGCATCCCACAATCAACATCGATACACCCGAGAAGGACGTGGTAAGTAATCTCACCCTTGAGATTACGATCGCTTTGATATCAATGTGTTGCTCGTTAACGGTCTCCGCAGAACATGGAGGTAATCGTTGGTGCCAACAAACAGAAGCTGGACGTCAAAGTGGCCCTGTCAAACTCGTTCGGTTTCGGCGGACACAACTCGTCTGTTATTTTTGCGCCGTATCCAGCAAAGAAGTAAAAAGACTTCCGTGTGCTCTTTTTAAAATAATCAAAACTCTTTGCACAAAACGAAACCGTATTACGTCTTTCGTGAGGGAAGATGTCGTCTCGAGGTCTTTCCATGGCATTGTGGAGAGTGTCCAGTCACTCCGTCGTAAGTTGCAGGCTGGGTGAGGCGGGCCCATCGCAACATCTCTTTTGACTCCTACTCACTCTATTTGCCGGTGCCGTCCAACAAAATTAACCACACACCCCACACTAGGATTTGACAGACGAGGAAAGAAGGTGGCTAGCTTGCAAGATTCTTAGCTAACCTCCAAGAGGAAAAAAGATTGCTTGAATCGCAGACGAACTAAAATAAGCACTCACTGTTGCAATTGGGGGGTTCCATGTCGCTGTCCTCCTCTCAGCCAAATCTCCCCAAATCGGATTGCAAATCCCTCGCGCCTTTGTCTTGTAACGGCGCCAAAATCCAAGAGGAATATCTTGGCTTTGTCGTCTGCTTTTGAAACGTTGAGCTAGGTTATGACAAGAAAAGAGAGTGATCAGAAACTCCTGGTCGCTGAGGGATATGCAAGGCAAACCTTTCTGGTTACCTTGTTCCCTTTATAAAACTATATAAATAAAAAAATCAAATCAAGGGGGTAAATGATGTGCACCACGCCAACCAAAATGACGTGCCGAGCGTAGATACACCGTTCTTGTGGAGATTCAGAGCATGCTTAAGTTGCTTGACGATGCGATGAGCAGCTCGGAACAAATACAAGCCTATGGATCAAAAACAGCTCTGGGACATCCCAGCATGCACCATGGCGCGCTCAACAATGGCTTTGGCGCAAACAGGCTGCTGTCCGTCACGAGTGGCGGGCTACTGGAACTAGAGCGTGGGCTTTCAGCAGGTTGATTTTCTTGTTTGTGAGTGCTCATCATCCACGCAACCTTTCAAAGACAATAAGCCGATCATTCCAGTACAGGTATGCAGGCACAACGAGCATCCTGACTCTCTTTTCAGGAGATCCTCACGGCTGTGGACAAAGGAGGTGCAAAGCTTGGGATAGTCATTGCAATCGACCCACCCAGCGACAAGCGTTTTACAAGCTGGCGGGAGGAGAGCTCGAGACGATTTGGGAGATGAAAAACTGCTACTAGATGCGATTGAACTCCAAGAGACTCTTGTTCTTAGTCAATATAAAAGCTTTAGATTTGTCTTCACCGCCTCTTATACACAAGAAACGAAACATATCCACGTTTTAAGCCTAGGGCTCTTTTCTACAGGGGATTCAGGATCGAGGGCGATGGTTTGTGTCGCTCGCCTGTCTAAGTTGAGTTGCAAGCTTACATTTGTGTTTGCGTGCAAAGGCGAACACTTTGAGGCCGTATCTGACATGCATCAGGAACACGCTTACTGCGGCTATGAGTCTCCAGGTGGGCGATCAGATCCATGCCTGAATCCATTTTTACTCTTTTCGCTAGCTGTAGAATTTCCCATGTCAAGATGTGGAGCGACATAACAAGCCCGAAGTTGAGTTCAAGTAAGCTTTGCCTGGTGTGATTTCTTCTTCTCTCCACTCAAAATGTTCATCCTTGCTGGGGCAGAACCAACACGGAGCTACTCCTTAATCCCGTAAGTGCTCTCTTGCTTGCATTTGCACTGGACTTTAGTTTGCTTCCCAGATCTTAATCTGCCGTAACGAAGCAGAAAAATGCTTGATTGAAACGTCGATCAACTCCCTGCGAATCAGCATCAAGGTAAGCGCATCCAGAAGAAGCATGCGGGCATGAAAATGAATGCGCAGGTCAAACAAGCTGACGAGCTGGAAAACATCCTCACCAAGAAGTTCTTGAGGTTCTTAGCCATGAGGGCCGAATCCTTTCAAGTTCTTCGGAGAAAGCCTGTACAGGTAACTTCGTATCGTCCTCATGCTCGCTGCACGTCTAACTGATTGACCACAGGGCTACGATATCAGCTTCTTGATCACCAACCAACACTGTGAAGAGATGAACAAGCACAGGCTGATTGACTTCATTGTCAGGTTTATGGAGGTGAGCTGCGAGATTGGGCTTGGCTAGCCGTCTGAAACGTTTGCTCTGCAGGATATTGACAAGGAGATAAGTGAGCTTAAGCTCTCTGTGAACACTCGAGGACGCCTGGTTGCGTCTGAGTATCTTAAGCAGTACACATAGCGGATAGATCATCCATATCCTATGGCAGCGCTCGTTAGTAGCAGTTTCTCCCTAGACCTGCAAAATGAAACGTCTCTTTGGTGGGTGTCACCACAGACCATCCATTCATTCACCTTGGGACACAGGGGTGTGCTGCTCTTGCGAGCAATGGCGGTGGGACACATTTCCAGGCACGGCGTTGAAACCGATGGATCGTCCTCCGGCGAAGGGGCTTCCACGCCAAACTTGAACTGGTAGGCGCGCCAAGGTCAGAGTTTCAAAAGCAGCAAATCGCCTCAGGCATTTACCTGACAACTCAAGTCGGCGAAGTTTGGTTCCATGAGCAGTGGCACTCCCAATTCCTTGCTGATAAACGCCTGGAACCAAGGAGCCAGCGGTGTGAGACTTACAGATTTAATGCGATGCACACCTGCGTGGGCAACTTGCAAGTATGGATGCAGATACCAGCGCACTTGGAGTGCTCCAGGTATTTGCATTTTTCGACGAGAACCTAGAAACGAATTACCATTAGCACCATCCATTTAAGCACGTACCCCGCTTGGAATGGAGGTTCCGTCCGACAGCTCCACACTGCCGATAGAACAGGTTCCCATGAGCCATTGACAAGTCGCTTGAGTCACTCTAGCTGCTCAAACACCTCGTGAAGATGGTCTCAAGCCGCGGAGGCGAGTGGCTTACCGGATAGGATGGCTGCAAGCTTTCCCTTGTTGATAGGTAGCACCACGGCTCTAAAGAGGCGCAGCAACGACTGTGGAAACATGGAGTTGAGAATGCGCACCTTTCAGAGAGAGCAACGAGCGTCAGACGGAGGAGGAGGACACGATTCTTCCAACTTACCGTGGCTTGCTCCACATCGGACTTGGCCTTGTATTTTGCCATGAGAAGCTGGGACAATTGAATCAAGCCATCGTAGCCAGGCCTGTCCGCGTCGCGTCCCACTTCCTGCCTAGCCAGGGTTACGAGCGCGAATGCCGCAGCACGCCACACCCACCTGTGCCAATTTGTTGCGAAACAAGGACAGGAACGCGGCGTCCAGCAGCGGGCCTTCCCTGTAGGATGCCGCAGCCTCCCTGCTGCTGTTGCCCATGGCGCTGCAGCGCACCGGGGCAGTGCAGCGGCAGGACAAGGTGGTGGTGCTCATCGCCAGCAGGTTGGTGGCCATAGAGCGCAAAACCCTAGCTTGACCTATAGCACAGGGGCGCATGGAGCAGGGAAGCAAGCCCCCGCTGCCCACCACGCCGGTTCTCATGTCGGTGGCCCGGCATGTGGCCCGGCGATGCACGGCGCAGAACAAAGCCTTCATGGAGTGCAAGCGCAGCCTGAGGGATCCGGAGAAGTGCCTGGACGAGGGCCACCAGGTCATGGGCTGCGTCTCCAGCTTGTGAGTAGCGCTATTCGCGCCCCTCGCCCACCACCACCACCACTGTGCTTGTGTGCTTGTGTGCTTGCAGGATCAAGGAGCTCCATGCCACCTGTGGCAAGGAGATGGAGTCGTACACGGGCTGCATGGACTACTACTCCAAGGACTTGGAGATGTGCCGGCAGAAGCAAAAGGAATTCGAGGCAGCCTGCCCGCTGCCAGAATTGAGCTAGATCTCTCTTGCTGTACTTTTTAGTTGGCCAGGCGCCGATGAATCAAACCCACTTCACTCGCCTCTCTTAAGTCTAGGCTAGCTAAGTAGGGTTTCATGTCAAAGATGAGGGACGACGGAGGAGGATCTCCATCGCCACGGCAGCCCAGGCCGGGCAGCCGGCTTCATATGATGCTGTCGGGTGGATCCCCGCAGCTCAAGCAGCAGCAGCAGCAGCAGCAGCCACAGATGGTGCGGGGGCATCAGCAGCAGCAGCAGCATCAGCACCAGCACCAGAGGAAGGCTCCGGAGCCGCTACGACGAGCCGTCGCCGATTGTCTGTCAGCATCGCATCACGCCTCGCTCCCCCCGCTCACCTCCGAGCCCGTCCGAACGCTCCAGGTTGATTATGGTCTTTGATGATGCAATAAGCTTGTGTTGGTCACCACCAGGACTACCTCGCCAATCCCTCCACCATCCACTTCGCCTACATTGTCCTCTTGGAGCACGCACTCGCCGAGAGGGATCGGAGGTCTCTGTTTACTCACACACTGCTCTCAATACTTACTAGTTGGTGTGCTTTTGTTTTGTCCGCCAGCCCTCCAGTGGTGATCAAGTGTGTGGCGTTGCTCAAGCGATATCTCTTCAGGTAGACGCGCCCTCGTTGCTTGCTCTTTGCTTTTCTCACATTGCTTTCCAACACAGATATGTCCCTCCCATAACTACGCTCCAGCAAATTGATTCCTTCTGTGCGTCTCTCATCAACGAGTGTAATGCTGCGTCCGGGAAGCGAGCCGCCACCAGGGCCACGTCGTGCTCCCCTGGACCTTCGCCACTGCCGCCCCCCTCCACGCCGTCCGTCTTCGCGTCGGAACCTCTCCTCAAGTCACTTACGTACGTGCGTGCCGTCGTCGCGCGCCACCTTCCCGGGTTCTCCTTGCGCCAGCACTCGGCCTCGTCACCTTCTCTCAAGCTCCAGCCCGTTCCGCCCTCTCCGCGCAGCAGGCTGCTCACTGCGCACTTCCAGCCGCCTCTTACGGATGACAAGGAGTTCGCAAGGCCCATGCTCGCTCTAGCCACCATCCACGACGACAACGGCGTCTACATGGCCGCCGATGTGCTCAAGTGGCGTTGGATCCTGCCAAAGGGAAGCCAGCTCTGGATGCCTTCACCGGTTATGACAGACAGGTAGGACTTCTCTACTCACTTGTGTGCTGGTACTCACCGCCGTGCATGGCAAAGGCAGCGGTGGCATTGCGAGGCCAAATGTGGATAATGTGGACAATCTGGAACAAGGCATTGGCGTTCTCTGGCTCAAGCGCACCACCACCACTGCTGGCAGCACTGAGGAATCTAGGCTCGACCAGCTTCTGCGTGCATCTACAGCAGCGGCCATAGGGGACTCGGCAGCAGTGAAGTCGCATCTGCGGGATGTTGCTGCTTCCAAGCGTCAGCCCGTTACTCGTTGGTATGCTCGTCATTGCTTCACGTGATCATGCCTCTTACAGCTCATTCTCAGGGGTGGTGAACCTTTGACTACCATGCGGAAGCGTCCGCGTCCTCTCTTCCAGTACAGATGCTATAGGTAAATGCGAGTTAAATGTTGAGCGTCTTCCGAAAGTGTTTTCCTGGTGACCTGCCCGGCTGATAGTAAACAGCAACCTTTGCGCTTGAGCGATGCTGATATCGAGGAAGTTATTGCTGCGGTTTGCGCTGAAGCAAGTAGCCCCACTTTGGCCTTAGCTCCGTCCCTGCCAAGCAGCCGGAGTGGCGATACAGCAAATGTTGCAGGGAGCGTTCTGATCAAGCTTATAATTGACATGTGAGTGGTGGTGTACTCCCGCTTGCCCCATAGACCAATATTTTGTGCCGTGCAGGTATCTTGCCGATGCTAGGACGGCGGCGCCTTTGACGCTTTCAGTTCTCCAAGTATCTCTCTTCTTACCATTAGATTGCCTCCTTCCTTATTTTACTTTTTGCTGTGTTTTCTCAGGTGATGCTAAGTTCGGGTCCTGTGACTGTTCGGGTTCGTGCTTTCGACCTTGTATTTAACCTGGGAGTCCATGCGCACCTTCTTGAACCAGTGCAAAGTGATGACCAAGACGGTTTTCCGACAGGGACAACGGAGGATGTTAAGCACGGAAGACCTCGTGGCGTAGAGGAATTCGAGGCGTGGCTCCTTATCATTCTCTGCGAGATGATGCTCTTCCTACTCCAGGTAAACTTTATCCTCTCTATTTTTCTCATTCTGTTCTGTCAGCTGGAAGAAAAAGAAGAATCTATTTGGGCTGCCTCTATGAGCGCTCTGTTGTATTTGGTTTGCGACCGGGGCCGTATCAGAAGAGAGCGGCTGGAGAACCTGGATATCCGGGTAATATTATCTGGTTTGTACTGGTGCTCTAACTGGCTTGTTACCATTTCAGATCCTGAGGACTTTGCTGGAAATCAGCCGAGACAATGCGTGGGCCGAAGAAATTCATTGTCGACTGATCTGCATGCTGTGCAATATGCTGTACGTTGCGGAACCTACAGATAGCTCTCAAGATGGGAATGCAGTCTTTGATATTAACAGGCTGGAAGCCATTGGTGGCGTCGAACTGATTTGCAAAGAGGTAAAATTCTGAACACGTGAATATTGACCGCTTACTTGTTCTGTTTGTGTGTATGTAGTATTCGTTAGTGAGTAGCCCCGCTGCCAAGAGAAACCTCTTTGCCATCATTTTTGAGTATCTATTATGTGAGCTGCGCAGCAAGGCTGACGTTTCGGGAAAGAAATTTCCCAGTCAGGATGAAGTGCAGGCAATTGCGACGGCTCTTGTTCTTGCCGGTGCGCCGGATTCGCTGAGCATTGCGTTCAGGCAACGAGTAAACGGCGTCGGCGGACGATTGTGTAAATCTATCGTAAAGGCACTAGACAGGGATCTAGCCAACGGACGGCTTAATGCGACGGTATTTTAGTGCCAATTCCTTGTTCTTCTTAATTTGCCTCGTGCTTATCACGCAGGTCTTGGAACAAGTAGCGAAATCAATCGACACTTTAGTTGACAAATATGGTACTTTGGACGGAGAGTTCGGGGAGATGGTGTCCCTTGTCCTCGCTGACGAGTCACGTGAGGATGGCCCTCCTGTTTCTTATCTGGAAGCAAGAGCCTGGGCCATCCTGCATGCGTTGCTCCATTCCTCGCGATCCGATTACCGCCACCACGGTTACTCGTGGCTCAACCAGCTCCTCGTAACAGAAGTGGAATGCTTGCATGGACGGAAAGACGCTTCCCACAGCAACTGCATGCTCACAATTCTGGAGCAGGCGAAGGTTGATCCCCCTGAGAGCAAAACGTCAGCGGCCCATCTACTCTTTGGACTGTTGAAATCAAGGAGGCATTATGTCAGGCAAGGCTTTCTGATCGTATTGGAGCACTTCCTGTCGCAGTGCCAGAGACGGGGGCGTGCAGACGACACTGAAAGTTTTCCCGACAGCCTTCCCAGTACCTTGGTGTGGCTCATGAGTAGCTCCCTTTGGCAGTTTATCACTGCAAACGACACAAACCGTATTAACGTTTTACAGGTAGAGTTCGTGATAGCTCACGTCTTTTGTTCTCACCCTCTTGTAATTTACAGATGTGCAACCTGCTGCTCTCCCAAATATGCGTCAGGTCGGGGCCGTCTGCGGGGAAACACGACGACGACGACAAGAAAGAGCACAACGAGAGCGTCAGGGATACAGTGGTGGTTAGCTCGATAGCATCTCTATTTCTGAGGGATGAAGCTGCGGCACCTGAGCACCTACTGACCAAGATGCCAACGGCCCTGTTTTACTGGCCTCTGATGCAGCTGGCTGGAGCCACTGTGGACGACATGACTCTCGCCATCGCCGTTGGGAGTAAAGGCGGTGGAAACGTTCCCGGTTGTGCTTCGGATGTCCGAGCAGCACTTTTGTTGCTACTGGTTGGAAAATGCACGGTTGAGCAGGCTGCATTGGACGAAGTTGGTGGCGAGGAGTTTTTCAGGTAGCTTCATCGTGCTGCGCTTTGGTGCGTGAGCAGCTGACGTTGTCTCGGTTGGAAAACAGGTCGTTACTCGACGACAGGGACGCGCGCGTTGCCTACTTCACTGCTTCCTTTCTCATCAAGGCAAGTGCTTGCTGGCTGGGCTGATTATCCTCTGACTCGTTCTTTGCATGCAGAGGATGATGGTTGAGGATGCTGACAACTATCAACGCGTGCTGCACAACCTTGTTTTCAAAGCTCAGCAGGTCTGCCGTCGCAATCTCTGTAGATTATGTAAACTGGCTTCTTTTGTGATCAGAATAACGATGAGAAGCTACTGGAGAATCCTTATCTACAGCTTGGCGGCATCCTACAACTTGATCCCGATATAAAACCTCAAGCTTCGACGCATGACGACTCATAACCCCTCAAAAGTTTGCACTTGCGGAGGAACCTTGGGCGCCAGCCAGAGGGGCCAGTTCGAGCTGCTCCAAGACAAGCTCTCGTTTCTTGACAACCTTGATGGCATAGGCAGCAGTTTCGGGGATGGCAGGCACCTGTCATTCATTTTGGAAACGATTTTGATTGCTGTTTTGACGACGCCAAACTCGAAGCGGACGAACCTGGGTGTTGTACGTGCACAGCTTATGAACGTGCAGCAGGCCCAGCGCCTGGCGATCCACAAGCGTTTGCTCCTCCTCTGCAGTGCAACATGGGTGATAAGGTTGTCCAAGTATGGAGCGGGAGTTTTACCGGGCAATGCTTTGACGGACAGAAGGATGTCAGCCAGGTGTTGCCAGCGCTTAGACGAGGAGGCAGCGAGAAGCGATGCTGGGAGCGTCACCAGGGCGACTGCATTGGCGTTGAGGAGCAAGGCCTTGAGGTAGAGCAGACTGGAGAGTAGCTCCCACTCCTGCAAACGTTATCAAACATACGCTTAGCCGCAACCAAACTCACCGAGCAAAATTCCATGCACTGAGGGGCGCAGATGGAGTGAAGTGCGATGCGACCAATCTCTCCACTGGATGCCAGGCTGCTCACAAACCCCCTGCACTGCTTGAGGAAAGAGTCCACCTTGGCCCCTGAGAAGCTATGGCACTGCACGCGACCTGGCGTGCACGACTTCCTCATGTCAAAACTAGACACATAGCCGTCCTGCCCCTGCTGGCTTTGGCCCAGATCATATTTGTGGTACTGCCAAGCGATCCTCAGCCCCGCCCTGGACAAGGGAAGTGAGGAAACAGGGACAAAAGGAGTTCTTACTCGTTGTGGAACTGGCCCGCGCTGGCGGAGGGAGCCGGGAGAGTGGAGAGGAAATGCGTGGGCGACGCAAGAGCGGTGGCCAAGAGGAGGGGCTGGCCGTGGCTGACGGCTTGGGCCATGAAGTAGCGCAACAACACCAGGTGGTGAGGAGCGTGTGTGTCTTCCATCACCACCACCAACTTGCCCATGCCAATGCCGCCACCTATAAGCTGTCAACAAGCGTGTCAAGGGAGACAAGGAGATACTTTCATGGATGGTGCGCGAGGGAGGATATTGTCCAGGTCCGCCACTCCTGTGGACACCAGCAGTGTGGCATTTGGCCCAGCCTTGGTGACTGCTGGGCGCGATGGCGGCGGCGGCGACGGCGATGGGGAAGACGACGATGGCGATGGCGGTGGCGATGGCGATGGCGATGGCGATGGCGGTGGCGGTGCCCCCACTCCTCGACGCCGCACGAAGCTCATGCCTTCTCACTTTCTAGGGCTTGGACATTTTGCCCTAGCTAGCCCCCGTAAAGATGAAGAACAACAACGAGAGCACCAGTGGCATTGCAGGAGCGCGCACCTCGCATTTCACCATCAAATACAAGGCTTATGGGAATCAGCCGCCGCCTCCCAGCGTCAAGGTATTTTTCCCCGCGCACCTGTAACTTGTAACTTACGCTCCTCTCTTCTTCGTCTCCCCAGAAGCGCCCCAGCCAACACATTCGAGAAGCGCTGGATCCGCCTCTTGCTCAGCGAGATGGAGTTATCCGTCCAAAGCCCTGCATTGTCAACAAGCACAACTTTGCCGAGCAGCGCCACCAAGTAAGCACCAGCGGGCGAATCCTTTTTCTTCAGTCTGGAAACTCTTGCTAGATCGTCTCCTCGATACCGGAAGACGAGCCACTGTTCCAGCCCTTCCCACCGGAGGTGGTTTTTACTGGTTACCATGCCTTCAAGAAATATACCACTGTTCTTCAGCTGCGTAACAATGATAAGGTACTTACTTACACCCCGCTTTCTCTTCTTCTTACTGTTTTTTTTAATCAGGTGGTGCGAAGAGTCCAGTTGTTGTCCGAGGATCCCCTCCTGACAGTAGAGTTGCTGCAAAGTGGGGATCAGGCTGTCTACTCGGAGATTGGTTCCAGCAAAGTGGCGTGCGGGATGGAGGTATTCCACAAACTCTTCTCTTCGTCCTGCATCTTTCATTTCGTTGTTAAACAGGTCTCCTACACAATAGCTTTCGTCCCGGAAAGTGATGGGGACTACATGTCGGAGCTTCTGGCCGTGACTGACAGAGAGAAGTTTGTGATTCCTGTCAGATGCGTCGGCTTGAAACGTAAGGCATTCAATCAACTGGTCTTGCCTCTATTTTGTTTGTGTTCGCAGCCATGGTGGACGTTCCAGATGAGATCATTTTTCCTCCCACACCTGCAAAATGTTCCTATAAAAAGGTTTGCTCCCACTTTCACGCGTAGATGCTCACAAGGAATCGTTTTTGAGTGTAGAACGTTATGATACATAATGTGGGAAAGAAGAAGGCTGTTTTCCGACTCAGGACAAGCGAGTTTTTCAGGGTCTCACCACCCACACATAACCTTGATCCGGGAGAATTCTTTCAGTGCTGCGTCTATTTTTTCCCTCGGCGAGTATGCACTTATGAAGGAGAGCTAGAAGTTACCTTCAAGGAGAATGGCGACCAGCTTGTCTCGCGGCTAATTGGAGCTGGCACGGAGGTCTGTTCTGTTCAATTTTCTAGTGGCCGCCGCGACTTACCGTGCTGTGTTTTGGGCAGTTAAACGTTGGCCTCTCCACAGGTGTGATCGCAGCATCTACGACGTATATCAGGCGAACTTCGCATGTCACTTTTCAAGTTTTCAACAACTCCTCTTCTCTCGCTTATTTCTTGTGGCCCAAGTACGTCCATTGTTTGAAAACAACATTTATAAAGGTGATAAAGAGGGGCTTCGAGAGCTGCGGTCATCTATAATACTTTTCTCGTAGGTTTGCTTCTAAAGAAGAACTGGACGAATACGTTCAGCAGGTTGGAGACTATGCAAGGGATCTACCGCCACCAGATGCAGTTGTCACGTCGGAGGATGAGCTTCTGTCGTCCAGTATAGATAAGGTACCTTTACGCTTATGTCTTTGCACTAATTCTTACTGCATTCCTGTTTCAAGGCAGGCGTTTACCATAACACCAGCCAAAGGCGAAGTATGGCCTGGGACGCTTGTGGAGATCACGGTGACCTTTTGTCCTCCGAAACCTCTACGGTGAATTGCAGCTAATCTGCAATGGCTTTATTTTACTCATGCCGATCTTGCAGGTACTTGAGCACAACGTATTGCCTTATCTCAGGAAAATCAGATGCAGTACCGCTGCAGCTACAAGGGCTAGGCGTGGGTCCGCTCGCACAGTTTTCGCCCTGTGAGCTTGATCTGGGAGAGCTCTGTTTATATTCCGTCAACAAGTTCAGTGTTGCTCTTGAGAACCTTGGGGAGCTGGATGTAAGATCTTGTCTTTGTAACGCGAATTAAAGCTGATAAAATCACGTGCAGGCTCACTTTAGGCTGATGGAGGCACTGTCATCTCCTATGATAACCTTTACCTTTGAGCCCGATACCGGGACCGTTGAGCCTAATGACGTTTTGGCAATTACAGTCAAAGTTTGTGGCAGCCTCATGGGAACTTTCAGCGAAAAGTTTTTGTGGGAAGTTACAGACTCAATCCACACGCTGTCACTGGCATTCAGAGGAAGTATTATTCGGCCCTCATTTTCTGTCGACACGACTGAACTAGACTTCGGTCCTCTTTCGTACGGTTTGCTTTCCGTAAGGTACGTTACTGTGACCAACAGCAGTCCGGTTTCTTTACCTTTCCAGTTCCGGGTTCTACAACCTGAGAGTGGGTCACAAGAGTTCACAGTGACGCCATGTTATTTTATACTGGGGCCTGAGGTGTGCATTTTTATTTACTTTCTTCTTTTGTTACTGTTCTTTTCTTCGTGCAGGAAAAGAAAATCGTTTCTATTGAATTGGTTCCATGGGAGGAGAGAAGATATGCCACGGTGATAAGCCTAGATATACCCAAAGTTGGCAAAGATTTTGCAACGATTCCTGTGCAAGCAAGATGTTTAGCTCCAACGGTGAGAAGTCTGCGTCTTGTCATGTTTTGACAAGCTCGCCGCAGGTCACTATATCATGCGATTGCTTGGATTATGGAACGTGCTTTCTGCGTTATGGCTACACCAAAACATTGAGCTTGATAAACGATTCCCTGGTGCCCGCGAGATATGAAATCCAAGCACAAGAAAAGGAAACGGAGAATCTTGCTATCTTGCGGCTGAAAGCTGAGAGTGGTTTTATAGAGCCTGGCTCGAGCTTACCGCTGGAGTTTACACTATCAACTGTGGCTCTTGGTGACGTTAGTCTTTCTGCAATCGTCAGCATATCCGGGAAAGAGTATACTCATTATCTAATCAAAGTCCTGGCAACCTCGGTTGGGCCCATAATTAAGATTGAAAAACCAATTAGCAAAAAGCTCCATTCAGCACGGCAGCAGACAGAAGAGGCAGATACCGAGTGGGTACCTGCTCTTGATTTTGGGAAGGTTCAGGTTCTCAGAGATCACCATCTCAGTGTGGTCTTAAGAAATGCGTGTTGTATTCGTGCACCGCTCAAGATTTCTCTTGGGAAAAAGGATTCCATGTACCACTTGAATCTGAGCGACGTGCCTCTGGACCCTTTTGAAGCTGTGGAGTTGAAGGTAACTTGTTGCATATGACATTTCTACTACTTAATCCCCTATGACAGGTTCGGGCCTATATGGATGATGCAGGCAAATTCAATGACAAGGTGACAATACTTTTCGAAGGTGGCGAGTTGTTCATTCCGCTGTCGGCTGTAGGAGTTGGCTCGACTTTAGTTTGCAAAGAGTTTCAAGAAGGTTTTGTTCACTTTGGTGATCAATTCACGCTACGGCATTTCTCCTACACCATTGAGGTACAAAACATGGGCAGAAAGCCACAGACGCTGGCTTGGGATAACGACACCACCAGGAAGCAAAGGGCTATCAACAAATCCTTGGCAATGGAGGCAGCTGACCAGAAAAAATCGGGCAACAAAAAGGCCGCTCTGGTCGTCCCAGAACCTGTACCCGTCTTTACGATCACACCCGACAAGACAGTCATCAAGCAATACTCGCCGTTCTCGCTCACTGTCTCAGGATACACCACAAATCCAGGCCATATCCAAGAGGACTTTACGTGCAAAGTCACCAGCGCAAAAGACATGTACTACCTCAAGATTTCGGTGGATGCGGACATGGCCGCATTGACACTCGTATTTTCTGAGACTACGCTGACTTTTGTTCAGAACAATGGTTGGGGAAAGGACGGTCCTCACGAGCTCAGCAGGACCTTGACTTGTGAGAACGTTTCCAAGTTGCCTCTTACGTTCTCCCTAGCAGTAAAGCCTCCTTTTTCAATCAACCAGGCGGAATGGACTCTACGAGCGGGTGGCTCCGGCAGTGTTGTGGTCTCACTTGAGAAGCAAGACATTGCAGAAAGGCACAGCACTGTGCTTTATGGTAAATTGGATATCCTCTACACGGGTACCTTGGAAAGGAACGGTATCGATTTGATAGCACATATCAACTATCCCAACCTCTCTGTGAACCAGAGCAGTCTGGATTTCGGGTAAGCATTATTGCTCTTCCACTGTTCGATTAAACATGTGCTGTCCGCTAGGTGCATCTTGGAGTTAACATACACGAGGATGCACATTGAGCTCAAAAACTCGAGCGCCCTTGACGTGTGGTACAGCTGGATGCTTGATGACGGGTATGGTGACGGTATTCATGTCTCTCAAAATATACTCCAGGATAGCGGGGGCCTCAAAATTCCTACAAATTACATTTTTGATATTCTTCCTGTGAGAGGGTACCTTGAACCAGGGGAGCAAGAAACAGTGGAGGTGTCTTACTATGGGCATTGTGGATATCAATGTCAAGTGTCGGCTATATGCGAGGTATTTTTCCATGGGCTGCAACGTTTTGCTGACGTGAGTTGAGTCCAGGTGAAAGGCGGCCCGGACTACATTGTCGCATTAAGCGCCGAGTCAGGAACCATCGCGCATGCTCTCAGTCGCGTGGCTCTAGATTATAATGTCCAGCCTTTCAATAAGGCCTCAACCAAAGAGTTTACGTTATCAAATCCAGGGAAGGTACCATTTAAGTTTGCGATCGATTTGGGCGTTTTGAAAGGGGATGTTCTAAGAGAAGTGACTCCCATGACTGGCCTGTTGGGACCAGGTACAAAGCAGAAGTTTGCTGCATCTGTTTATCCTGGACTTCCTGAAAAGTTTATGGACAGTTTCACCATTCAGGTCTGTATCTTTTTGCTGAGCTTCATGCAGCTAAACATGCTTGACAGGTTGCACATTTCGTACCCACTACTATATCTATTCTAGGCTCTGGCGCCTTTCCTCATATCCTTCTGGATACAACCCGCGTTAGAAGCCACAAATATTTGAGCTTGGCAGCGGAAGCGTTTCATAATGCGTATATGGCCATGAAGACTACTCCAGTAGTTTCTGCCCGTTCCAATTCGGTCAGAATGTCTACAACCGCTATAAATGACCAGCAAGGACCACCTCTAGTGGAAGCTGAACATCCTGGAGGCGAGCAAGTGTCAGTCGTGAGGGAAGTCGGTACAGCTCCGACTACGACGGGAACTGTAGGAGACGAATGGGTGCTGGAAACAGTAAGTTTCAAACAATTAAGTTGTTGCTTTGTTTTTTATTTTCCTCCTTTCCGTTACAGACAGGAAACGAGGTGCTGTCTTTTGGATCGGAGGTTTTACGTGCACCTTCAATCGACCAAGTGGATTCTGAGATTGACCGTCTTCTTTTCAAGGAACACCTCATTCATGAAAACAAAGAGACTCTGGATATAAATAAGTTTGTCTTGAACACGCATATTTGCGACTTCGAGAACGTGACACTTGGTGAAACAACGCAGAAGACTGTGAAGGTTACAAATGACGGGCCTTTGCCAGTGACGTTCAAAATAAACATGGCAACTGTCAAAGCCAAAGGCATCACGTTGGATCCCGATCGCCTGATAACGCTACCCCCGGACTCTCCAAAGAGTTCAATGGATTTGGTCTTCAAAATGCGAACGGACTTGCCTAGATTTCCAGCTGGCCCACTTGAGTGCTCCGTGCCACTTTTCATTAAAGAGGTAAGCCATCCTGGGTCACCGAGAGTGTCATGGCTCTTGTCAAACGTGCAGGGCCCTCAACTGGTGTTGGCATTCACGGCGCATGTAAGCAAACCTGTTCTGGAGGTATCCCATGAACACCTTGACTTCGGCGCGGTTCAGTTTGGCCAGTGTAAAGTAAGCACGGATCACTTATCTTCTAAGCTGACGAACTTGTGACTGCTACAGATTTTGTATCTCCGGCTCTTCAGTAGAGGCGAAGTGCCTTGCATCTGGACTGCAGCTAAACCGGATCTAGGCAGCTGTGATATTCACGACTCTACCGCTTTCACCTGTGAGCCGGAGACGGGAGTGATTGAGGCCCACAAATATGTCGATCTAAAGGTTTGTGTACAAGGTTTCTTCCTGTTCAACAAAAATCTTAGCTTTTCTATGTCTGGCCAGGTCCAGTTTATTCCCACGCAAAAGAAGAAGGCGTACTTTGCCGTTTTTTTTATTGATCTGCTGCACAACCCAGTCGAGCTTAAATTCGCGTGCAGAGGTCACAGCTACGTGCCAATATTTACACTCGAGCCATCGATTATTCAGCTCGGACCAATACTTCCGAACGCTCCTGAAGCCGCTGAGATCAAATACGTGATCTACAACAACGCTGAAGAGCCAGTGGAGCTTTACTCACTTGCGTTTGATCCAGACTATGTGAAAGAGGAAGAGATTCTCAAGACGGTGGAAGGCTACAATGAGCGTGATCAACTGTTCCTTGAGCGCCGCAGTGCTGGTCAACCTTTCTGGTCCCATCTCAAACCTGGAGGCTCTGCAAAGCAAGAGGCTTTGCAACAACCACAACCATCTCCGCTTGAGGCAGCAGGAAAGGCAGGCAAAAGTCCATCTGGTTCTGCTCCAGATGTCTCTGAAAAGCCTTTGGTTTCCCATGCCAAGAAACTCCTGATTATGCTACTTGGACCTCCAGCGGTTGGCAAGTCGACACAGGCAAAGCAGCTGAGTCGGAGATTCAGTTGCCCAGTCGTGGCTATGGATGACATGGTCGCTTTAACTCGCAGAAACCGGATGTCCTCCACGGCAGACGGAAGCAGTGGCACCCAGGCGTCCGGGAGTTCTACGGCATCTGTGGAAATCAACGACTTCGAAAAGGATCTGATAGCAACACTGAGGAGGAACCTTGAGAGCTCCGAGTGCATCTACGGAGCTGTGTTTGATGGACTCAATTCCCACTACACGACGACTGTCTCGCTCGCCAAATGCATCCTCTATGCTGCCGGACTGGAACCATATGATCCAGAGAATCCTCAAGACGACGGGAAGAAAAAAGGTGGCGGTGAAAAAAAGAAGGCTCCTGCACCTCCCAAAGGTAAGAAGGCAGAGGAAGAACCTACGGGGCCTCCTATCTTTCCCAAGACGTTCTGGAAGGGCGAGGCTACAGTATACGCAATAACTTTGAAGGCTCAAAGAAGTGAACTATCGAGCCACTACCAAACTGTTCCCGACCGTGACCAGTGCAAGAAGAAGGTTTACGTGGAAACAGCGGCAAAAGAAAGTCAGGAAACGGAACCTGCTGGGGAGCCGCCACCGCCACCTGCGTCCGAGCCAGAAACCCCAACCTTTGCATCGGAAGTCCTGAACCATCTCAAGTATTATCCATATGTGTCTCTATTTCCCAGTGAGGAAGAGCTTGATAAGTACTATGCATCGGAGACAGACGTACAAAACCTTTTGGGTGGAGCCAAGGCTGAAAGTCATGAAGAAGGAGCAGGGACTAATAGAGTGGCTTGCGTTGCTATCAATGCACTTCAGAACGTGGGGCTTGTTTATGAGGAGGAGCTCCATTTTCTTCCAGACATGGAAAATGTAGCACCGCTTCCACCTGCAGAGGTGCTTCAAGTGGTGAAGCGACCGCACAGGCGATCGAGTTTCATCAGTGATCCCAGCAGCCTTAAGTTCGCCTTTTTCACCAGCATGGCGGGTGAAGAGGAGGACAGCTCGGGGGATCCCACGGCGCAAGGAAAGAAGAGCAAAGGGGGAGCAGAGAAAGCGGCAGGCTTGCAGAGCGAGAAGTACCAAATCATGCTCAAGAGGAAGACCGAATATTTCACTCCGCTGGAGGCGCTGCCAGAGGGGCACGAGATGCGGACACGATGGGTGGTGAAACCGCAGCAACGCGTGGAGCTGCTGTTGCGCTTCTGGTCTCAGACCGTGGGGGAGTTCGAGCAAAAGTTTGTGTTTGAAGGCCTCAACGGTAACCATCAAGCCCGTCTTATGTGCAAAGGAGTGTGTGCTGAACCACAGATTGGTTGCTTTTATCGACACATTAAACTTCCCAACACAAAGGTGACGCCCACGCAGAAGCTCCAGAAGGCGTTGTTTGTGTCGGACAGGATTCTAGACTTCGGTCCCCTTCCAACCGGAAGAACAGCCGACGGTTTTCCGAATCTGCCAGACTCGGAGCACTGCAAGAGGCTCGAGATTCGTAACATCGGCCTCTTCGACCTGCATGTCGACTTTGACGTTGGTGAAGGCAGCGAGGCACCTGGTGCTGGTGGTGCTGCAGGCAAGAAGCCGGCTGCCAAGGGTGGCAAGCCACTCTTTATGCTCAATCCCCTCGGAATGGATCTGAAAATCAACGACAAGCAGATGCTGAGTATCTACTGCTACCCGCCTCAGGTATGACACGAGCTTCTGCTGTTCTTTTTTCCTGAGTTTCTCGGACATGCAGGGACTACTTGGCCCACTGGAAGGAAGAATGGTGTGCAGGATCAGGGATAATCCTCAGCCTCTGGAATGCAAGGTGATTTGCCTCGCAGACACCCCTCGGGTAGACGTTGACTGCAAGGACCTGGTGTTTGAGCGCCTCTTGCTCGACCGTGAAGTGAAGAAATCCATCACCATAAGGCATGCAGCCATTTTATGTTTCCCGCTGCTGACACTTCTGTTGTAATCTCCAGAAATATATCTGCGTTGCTTCTTTTCTGGAACGTTGTCGGGCTGGAAAATGAACCGCCCGAGCTTGCGTTCTCGGAGACATCCGGTAGCTTGTGTGCCTTGGGCAGTGCGACAGTTGAGGTCACGTTCAAGGCGATCCAGGAGAAGGTGTTCAGCCAGAAGTTGAAGCTCCAGGTTAGGGTGGCCGATTTCATCACCCGCTGTCGTGAAATGACACCCAAGATATGTGGTGCAGGTTTTCGAGGCGAAAGACGCCGTCAAATTCAACCAGGAGCTTCCATTGAGTATCACTGCTGAGGCATACAAGATTGACATTGCGATCAAATATCCTAGCCCACCAGAAGACATGCCTCCCGACGGTGGCTTCAACTATGGCACACTTAGAGTCGCCCAAGATTCTCTCAAATCGCTCACCATGGACAATAAAGGCAAGTACAAGGTCGACTTCAAGTTCGTCCACAAAACGGCGCTCACGCAGGAGCTCTTTACAATAACCCCGCCTGGGGGTACTTTAGAGCCCAAGAAGCAGCAAAAGGTAAAGTGCGGGAAAGACATAGCAATCGCACTAACGGTAACGCCGCTGTCTTGCTCTCCAGGTTGACCTGCACTTCAACAAGGAGAAGACGCTGCAAAGAGAGGTCGCACTTAAAGGGAGCCGGGACGTGGAGCTGCACCTTATCGAGTGCTTGACTGGCAAAACGGAGCAGATAATTCCTAGTGTAGTAACAGTCCACGCAGTGCATTCCAAGTTCCAGCTGCTTCCTGCGCAAGGCATTCACTTTGGTTCGCAGATATGCGGCAACCCTCCGCCACCTCGGCTTCTCACGATTGTCAACCTGGGGAAGTTTGATTTCGCTTACAAGCTTGTCTCCACGTTGGCGCCACCTGCGCCTGAAGCGGCGGCCGCAGCAGAAAAAGGCAAGAAAACGGATAAGAAAGGAGGTGGTGGTGGTGCATCGGGTGAGCCCCTGGAACTCAACAGCTTCACCGTGGTCCCTGCTTCTGGAACAGTCCTCCCTGGTAGCCACATGGAGCTGTCCGTCTTCTTCAAGGTGGACACGCCTTGCCTGACATCAGAGACGTTCCACATTGAGATTGCTGACATGAATCCCTTCCTGTATCCGGGAGGCGTGGCGTACGAGCTCTCGGGTGAAGCCTGCATTCCAGGCATCAGCACGGAGCCGAGGACCATATTCTACGAGCACCATGTGGTGGACGAGATTGATCTCCTGGCTCCCATCCCAAGCTTTGGAACGTATTCCAGAAAGGATGAGATGTTCTCCTTTGGGCCGGTTATCATCAACCATGAGAAGGCAGCGCTCGACGCGAGTGCAGGTGGCAACAAGGACAAGCCAGCAGTAGTAGCAGCTCACAAGAAGGGCGCAAGGGACGTGTGCATGACGGCACGGCTTCGTATCGAGAACCCTCTGCGGGTTCCATGCTCTGTCGAACTGGTGCTCCGTCGGCCGGGCGAAGCGGCGGCAAAGTCAGGTGGAAAAGAAAAGCTTCCCGCCAAAGGAGGTGGTGGTGGTGGCGACGACTTGCTGTGCATGGAGCTCTCCCCCCTCACGGCTGACATTCCACCCCTCGAGTACCAGTTTGTTACAATCTCCTTCAAGCCTCTGGCGCTGCAAAAGTACACGGGGCTGCTCGAGGTGCTTGTCAAAGGCCGGGAGTCGCCACAGTTTACATGCCACATCCAGGGAGAGGGAACCTTGCCTCACTTGTTTGCCGAGTCGCCCTCGGCAGTGTCCCCGCTGGGATTCCCGTGGCTCGACTTTCCACGGCTGCTGGTTGGAAAGTCACATACGCTGCCCATTGTTCTTGTCAACAACGGCCTGGTGCCTGCCGTGGCCAGGCTCGAGTTGGCTGGGGACGCCAGCGACGGATTGGAGTCGTGGCTCGACATGAGCCAGGTGACCGAGCAGGGAGCGGTGCCGCTGCTTGTGGGGAAGAAGCTCACGTTTCCCGTCGGCTGTGTGGAGACGGCCAGCGTCACCTTCACGCCTCGTGCCGCTCAGCAGTACAAGCAAGACATCATGGTGGTGGTGGATGACAACCCATTTGATGCCGTCACCATATCCATCACGGGTGAAGGCTACAGCGAAGAAGTGGTGTGCCTTGGATTGCCCAAGGCGCTGGACGACGCCATATGCTTCGACGACTGCGGGGTTGGAGGCAGCACCCACGTCATCTTCACCCTCAAGAACACATCGCCACTCAAGCACTGGCGCTTTGGCTGGTCTGACGCACCAGCGTTTGTGAGCTTCAGGCCGGCGCTGGGCCATCTCCACGCGGGGGCGTCCAAGCAGGTCACTGCGACATTCAGCCCCACGGAGGCGGTGGAGTACGTGGACAAGGACATATACCTGCAGCTGTGCAACATTGTCTACATTGGACAGGGCGGGGAGGAGGAGGAGCCTCCGCCCGACTGGGACGACACCATGCTGCCCCCTCCCAACGAGGACACGCCTCCCGAAGGCGGCAAAGGAAAAGGTGGCAAAGCGGCGCCACCCGCAGCAGCTGCCAAGGGTGGCAAGGGAGGCAATGCTGGCGCTGCCCCCGAGCTGACCATCGACTCCAACATCAACCCCGCGGAGCCAGCCTTGGAGGTGGTCAAGGGGAGCGCCAAGCTCGTCGCGTACAAGCTCCACGCGGTGGCCGACAATGCGCGATACGAGTGCAGCGTCCAGGCGGTCCAGTTCAGGACGACGATGATGTTCCAGGTGAGGACGTACCCGTTGGTGGTGAAGAGCCTTAGCAAGGCGAGCATGCCCTTCTCGTGGCGCGTGGAGAAGGCAGACGGCTCGGTGGAGGCAGAGGAGCAGAGCATGTACGCGGTGGAGCCGGCGTGTGGTGTGCTGCGGCCTGGCCTGGACGCCCACTTTGTGCTCAAGTTCTGCCCGCTCGAGGTGCACGAGTGCAGCCGCGTGGTGGCGTGCCACATCCCCACGCTGGAGCAGCCGCTGCGGCTCCCCGTTTGCGGCAGCGTGACGAGGCCGTGGTGCCACTTTGAGCTGCCCCGGAGCGACTATGCAAGCCGGAGGGACGGCCACTTCCCGGGGCCCGACGGGGAGCTGGGGCCCTTGGACGCTGGCATCCACATCATCGAGTTCGACTCGCTGGGCTGCAACATGCGCAACGTCAAGTACTTCACCGCCGTCAACCCCACCAATGTGGCCTACAAGTTCGTGTGGGAGGAGAAGAAGAGCCAGTCGCTCAGGTGGACGGCCTACGACCTGGAGCCCATCACCGACGACGACGTCTTCCCCCGTCCCTTCCGGTGCATGACGCGGCGCGGCCTCATCCCAGGCGGCAAGAGGTTTGAGATGGGATTCGAGTACACCCCGATGAGGCTGGAGCTGCACGAGAGCTTCTGGACCCTCCGCATCCCGGACAAGAGGATCGAGGTCAACTTCCTCCTGGTTGGCAACGTCAAGAAGCCCGAGCTGTCGCTCAGCTGCTCCCACGTCGACTTTGGCCAGGTCCTCGTCAAGGCCAGAGTGAAGCAGACCATCTACCTGCACAACCCCGAGCCTGGGCCCTTCGCCTTCAACTTCGACAAGCTCAGCTACTCGCCGTCGCAGCCGGGCCAGGTTGCGGTGCTCACCTTCACTCCCTCGAGTGGCATTGTGGCCCAAGGTGCAACCATACCGGTGGAGCTGCTCTTCTCGCCGGCGCTGGAAGGCGACCACTCGTTCGACATCGTGTGCAACCTCCGCATGGCCTCCCCGCTCTTCATGTCTGTCAAGGCGGAGGCCTACCTCTACCACGAGAAGCTCTACCTGGAAGGCGGGGACGACGGCAGGCCGCTCGCCCTCGTGGCAAAGGAGGCCTTCAGGCTAGACTACGGGCGGGTGATGATCAACTCGAGGGTGTACCGAAAGTTCATCCTCACCAACTCGGGCAAAGCGGCCTTTCACTTCATGTGGGGCTGTGGCAGCGACAGCGCCCTGCTGCGAGCGGAGCCAGTCGCCGAGCTGGTGACCAAGGATGAGCAGCTCACCTGCGACCTCCTCTTTCACCCCACCGCAGAGAGGACATTTGTGGACCTTCCCATCGTATGCCAGATTATGCACGGCAACAAGTACCTCATCCATCTCAACGCCACCTGCTACCGCCCCAGGATCAAGTTCAGCTTCCACGACTTTGACTTTGGAGCCCGCTTCCTGCACCAGCCCGGCTTGACACCGCCCTCCACGGACCTCACGCTCTCCAACGAGGGTGACGAGGTGATCACCTGCGAGCTCCTGTACGAGAACACCTCCTTTCTGGAAGTGGAGTACGTCAACATGAGCTTGAGCCCCGGCCAAAACCACACCATCAGGGTGACTTTCAAGCCGGATGCCTTTGTGCTCTACAGGGAGGCTGTCAAGTTCCAAATATGTGGCCTCGACACTGTGACCATCTCGGTCAGAGGGGAAGGCGTGCCCGTTTTGCTCGAGCTAGTGGATCCCAGGCAGCGCTACTTGTCGTTTGGGGTGGTCCGGCTGGGGAAGACGGCAAAGCAACACGTTCAGATCACCAACAAGAGCAAAATCCTGGCTCCCATATCCTTTGAGCCTAGTGCCAACGCACTGGGCAAGCTGGGCATCACATGCCTGCCTGCCCAAGGCATCCAGCTGCCGCCGAGATACACTCGTCCCATGGAGCTCGTCTTCACTCCACAAGCCAGGATGACCAAGTTTACCGAAGGCCTTGTGCTGGAAGTGGCGGGGACCCAGTCGAGAGTGCTGACAGTATCTGGCATTTGCCATGCTGTGGTGGTGAAGCTCAACCAGAGCGTTTTGCCCTTTGACATCGTAACACTGGGCTCCAAGGTGACCAAGAAGATACAGCTCGAAAACCACGGGGACCTGGCAACCAACTTTGCGTGGGACACAACCAAGTGTGAGGCGGATTTCACCATCTTCCCCATGGAGGGGTTCCTGACCCCTCGTCAGGTGTCAAAGCTGGACGTGACCTTCCATCCTTCGGCCGCTAATCCGGACATGAGAATCGAGGACATCCCTTGCCAAGTGGAGGGCGGCGAGCCACTGCACTTGACGCTCCTGGGGGGTTGTGTGGAGCAAGGGGCGCCTGCGGAGACGCTCAAGTTCATGACCGCCGTGCGGGCCACCGAGTCCAAGATGATCCAGCTCAAGAACCCGACAACGCAGAACTGGCTCGTACATCCCGTCATCTCGCACCCCTATTGGAGTGGAGCGGTGACAGTGCAGGTGCCGGCCAACCAGAGCCTAGGCTACAGCCTCACCTACCGTCCCCTGACAATGAGCAACACGCACCGGGCCACCATCTCCTTCCCGCTGCCCTTCGGGGGCCTTGTGTCTTATCAGCTGTCGGGTGAGGCAGGGCCGCCACCTCCCGAGGCCAGCATCAAGCTGGACGCCAAGGCGCGGCTCACGCTCCCCTTCAGCCTGCACGTCCCAAACTGGCTCAAAGCCACTCAGCAGTTTGCCGTCATGGTAAGCATGGTGCAGGGGGATGCCACGACAGTGATCAAGGGCCCCAAGACCATCGACGTGCCCGGGCTGTCCAACAAGGAGTGCGTGCTCTACTTCAAGGCCCATAAGCCTGGAAGCACCATGAGCACCGTCACGTTCAAGAACGAAGAGAGTGGTGAGTACTCGCTGTTCAACGTGACAGTGGAGACAGGCAGGGCCGACATTGTCGAGTCAGTGCTCCTCGAGTGCTTTGTGAGGCAGCAAGCGTCGCGCACGCTTCGCCTCAGGAATCCGCTGGACAGGCCTGTGGTGTTCAAGACGAGCTGCACGGGCCAAGGCGTGGTGCTGCCCGCCCAGGTGCAAGCTGACGCAATGTCCAGCGCGGCAGTGGACGTTGCGTTTCGACCCCTGGTGCAGGGCAGCAGCCAGTGCAGCCTCAGTCTACACAGCGACGACCTCGGGGAATTCGAATACCAGCTGACGCTCAAGAGTGTGGCAGCGCCATCCGAGGCCCCGTTGCTCTTCTCCGTGCCCCTGGGCAATCAGCTCGTACAGACTTTCCACTTTAGGCACACACTTCCAGTCAAGGCCACGTACAATTGCCTGCTCTCTCAAGCAGCCATTGACGGAGGCTTCACGGCCGAACCCAGCATGGTGCAGGCCAATCCAGCACCGCCCGACGGCCTCGACCTCCAAGTCCAAGTCGTGTTCGAGCCGTCGCGGATCATGGACGAGTTCCAAGGCTTGCTCACGTTGAAATCGCCTGAAGGGTCTGACTTTTGCTGCCAGCTGCTGGCAAGCTGCAGCAGCCCGTCTCCTCAGGGTCCCTTCTTCATCAAGGGCAGTGGACAGATCAACTTCAAAAACGTTTACAACGACACCGTCCAGTTTAACTACACCACGGACAATCCAGCTTTTGTGGTGAGCAAAGGTGAGAAGATGCAGTCCAAGAAGCAGTCTAAGCTGGTTGTTAGCTACAAACCAGAAGCACCGAACGCCCCCAAGACTGGCCGACTCACAGTGACTTGCAATGAAACAGATGATGTATGGTCGTTCTACCTGCAAGCTGTCTAGAGCTTATATCTATGTAATGCTACAAGCTCTCTTTGGGCTTGCAATCCTTGTTATATATGCTACATGCTTTTATTTTAACTAATTTTAAGTTAGGGTCTGGTTTAAAACATTCTTTTTCCTTTACACGCAAATGAAACTTCATATCTATTTAGGTCATGGATGTGGCACCTGAAGAGCTTCCTGGACTTTATTCTTGGGTTTGTAGTTGAAGCTGATCTGATAGATCAGCTCAGTGCTGAGAGTTTTCAGGTTGACGGGATTCCGTTGTCAAGGCCGAAGAGAAACATCGCTCGGGATTTCAGCGATGGAGGTACTGTTTGCTAACATTCCATGTTGGATTAAAACGATGTTTTCCGCCAGTATTAGCGGCAGAAGTTGTAGCACATTATTGCCCACGGCTTGTGGATATTCACAATTACAGTGCTGCCAACAGTCTTGCTCAGAAGATTTACAACTGGAACACTCTCAACAGTAAGCAACTTTCTGGTTATGCACATTTATTTTGTGTGTGCTGCAGACAAGGTTTTTAGACGTTTAAGCTTTTCCTTAACCAAGGAAGACGTCGAGGCAGTCGCAAATGCTGAAAACCAAATGATCGAAAGAATACTTAAGCTTTTGAAATATAAGGTAAATGTCTTCCGCTCCAAATTCGGTTTAGAAATTGTCATATTCTGCCAGATTGCCAAGTACAGGCCGATTAAAACAGAGTCAATGAAGCACGAGCCTAACGGTCATGGTATGATGGAGAAATGATCAAATAAGTAATCACACAGAAACATTGCTTTGGGAGGCTCTAGTCAAAACTCAAATTAGATTTTGTAGGCAACTACCCCATAAAAAGGCCCCCCCCTAGAATGTTTACACCGCCAAGCAGGTATGAGATTTTCGTCTTTCTTTTTATTGTTATACATGTTTTCTTGCAGGGGTCATGAAAGAGGACTTTCTGGTGTAAGTGTACAGTCTTTGTACTGGTTCGGTTCTTGATCTGGTTCAGTTGTACAGAGCCCGAAAAGGACAGATTCTCCAGAGAGACAGGAAAAGGATGGGATGAATGAATCCCAAAAGGATATTCAACTCCGAGAGCTCCGGGAGACAATCGAGGTAATTAAGATTGTACAGTAACAGAATGATGAAATACTATAAGCAGTTGTTAGAAGCCAAAGTTATGAAGCTGGAGCAGCTTGTGAGCCTCAAAGACCACAAGATTCAAGTGCTGACAGGAAAGCCATCAAGACCTACACGACCCTGAACATCTTAGCAGTTTTGTAAGTTGCCATTGCCATATCTACACATAATTTTTGCTAGTTCGGTGTGCCTTGTTCCTCGCTGCATTGTAGTTGAGCTTGAATGACATCACGTATTGATGTGCCATATTGTTCCTTAATTCATGCACTCCCAAGGGTTTGTTCTCTCATGGCCTTCAAGTGGGGATTTGTTAATCTGGAGGGATCCACAAGTATGCCATCTTGCTGGACGCGGCGTTTGAAGGCACATGTCGAGGGATCTCCATGCAAGAGAAGCAATGAAAAGGAATTGCTTACCAGACAGATGACGGTACATTTTAAAAAAAAACTCTTGATTCCGACCACCCTTGCTGCCACGCTGCAGCCACGGCTTTTCGCTATATGAGTGACATAAGACAGAACTCTGTTGATTGCTGGTATCAGAATCTGCCCAAAGTCCCTCCAGAAATTAGCAATAAAAATATGTTAAATAGAGGGAGCCAACAACAGTCTAGAACCTACACCTTAAAGAAAATGCTTTATCTAGGTTTCAAGAGAATCTTTGGCCATGTGGTCAACGTGGGTCAAAAGTCAACTCAAAAGCTTGGACTATAAAATATAATTGTCTGGTGTAATATAGTATGGAAAGTTAATTCTCTATATCTTTCTTGTTTACTGGGGAGTCATAATATTAGTATTAAAGATGCTGGTTGTAATAGTAACTAAGATGAATGTTGAAATCCTAATGTCAATGGAAGTGTTGACAGTGGTGCCAATAGAGGTGCTGAGGTGCTGAGGTTCTCTTATAAAACTTTGATATTTTAAGCAAGGGAAAATGGCACTTGGGGATTATATTAAAAAGCTTACATATTTGATTAACCATGTTCTAATGAAAAATCTGAATCAGAATAAGTCATACTTCATTAATAGCCTTCAAAGTGAGAGCATCAAAAAGTACTTGTGTCATTCCCAAAGTTTGGAGGAGCTCTTTGATGTGGTTTCAACTTTAAAATGATACAATAATAGAAATAAATATCACAAGCTGAATTTAATATGAAAGGATCAAAGAGCAAAAGGTTTTTGTGAAAAATTATAGGCAAGGTTGTCATCATTGCAGTGGGCTTGGACACTAAAAGTTTGATTGTCCACAGCTGAAAAACAAGCAGCAGGGCAAAAGGAATGGTCAATCTTCTAATGACAGTAAGTTTAATACTAACAAGTTGTAAAATTTGTAACATAAAGATAACAAAGTGGAGTATTATAGTTGGAGGAAGCAGCTCCTGATCATTGTTCATCAACTCAACTAAGAAAAGGTTAAATACACTTGTGATCAGCTTAAATGTGGGAAGCATGTTTCATGGAGGTTTAATATGGATTCTACTGGACAATGGAGCAATATGACCTTGTGTGTGGTGGCTCCAGTAAGCGAATTGCAGTATAATGGATTGCCTGTAGCAAACAATAACAAAGGTTTGGTGACAATGGCTCCAGAAATTTAACAGGTCCAAATGAGAGGGAATCCGTGTCAGCATTCTTGAGTTCAGTTTATTGAAAGAAGGCAAAAGGGTTTATGAAAGAAAAGTTCCAGGTTTCAGTATTTAGATCTGTTCTTCTTTAAAAGCTATTCTTACCTCTTGTATTACACATAAATTTGTCTATTTGCCCCCTATCAATCTGGCAACCATCCTGGCAAACACATTGCTCATAATTTATCTGGTGGCATATCAATCCAGTCACTCCCAATTTTACAGAGAATAGTATGTTCAAGGTTAACTACAAAAGTACACAAAGAAGAGTGACAGAGTACAGAAGATCAGCAATTTAAAGCACAAGAAAGGAAACGGCTTGGATTTGGTTCTTGAAATTGCATAGTTTATAAGCACTTTCTGCTATGGAGCATTGTGGCACATAGTTTTCAAAGTTTTATAAAATTAATTTTAAATAGTTCAATTTTCATTATATAAATTTAAATTATATCCTTTAACAAATGCTATTTGAAATACAATATACTCAAAAAATATGAGTGCTTGATTGGGAAAAACAATAATAGCATCATGAGCCTAAGCATGCTCAACAAACTACATAAACTTGTTGACCATTTTACTCATGGTGATAAAACCATGTCCATAACTCTGTTACATGATGAATATGCAATAAAGCATCCACTACCACATTTAATTTCCCTGGACAATTCTTGAAAGGAAACTCCTTAAACTCCATTAATTTGACCATCTAATGAGTTTGCCTAGTGTTCAACTCCTTATGTGTGAATAAATATATAAGAGGTTTGTGAACTGTCAACACCACAAACACTACACTATAATAAAAATAGTGCCACCATGTCCACAAGGCATGAACAATTGAAAGTAGTTTTATTTCATATATGGAATATTGTTGCTCCGCAAGATTCAAAGTCAGATTTTTATATGCAATAAGCTGTCCTCTTGTAGCTCTTTTCATTAGAATGGCACATGCTTATGTAAATACCATATCAAAACAATAATCACCTTCACAAAGTTGGGTAGTAATAAATAAGCATACCAAGGAAACTGCTTAACTCAGCCACTGAAGTTGGTGTAGGCCAGCTCACCACCACAGTCATCTTGCTTGAATCTATCTTAACACTTAAATTTTGTGATATTCTTCTCTTCCCAAAACTTCTATCTTGGTAGGTTTTCAAGTAGAGGAGCACGAGGTCTCACCATTGCGAGTTTACTATCTTTTATTACTAAGGGCGACTTTAGTAATGGAAACTAGAATGTCTTAGATGCTGAATCTATAAGAATGGCCTAGAACAGCAAGAAATTTGGTACATAAAGACAAGGAAAAGGATAGAAATGCCAGGAAGAGAAAAGGAAAGAAAATCAGTGGTTAGTTAGCTCTTTTCCATGAACTTAGAGGTTGAGATTCAGGAGAACATCTGAGTATATAACCGTCCTTTGAAGAAGTGAACTAACCTTTTGAGCACTGGGGAACACAAGCCTTCCTTGGGTGTACTTGTTCCAATGTGGAAAGTAAGCTAGAAAGATTTTTGGCTTCTTGTGTGAAGCTTAGAACCTATGAAACACAAGCTAACATTGATTCAAACAAGAGAAAACACTCCCGGCCATCGTCTAATCATTAAGCAGGCCTGTACATGCAAATACACATGTGATCAATACATAAGGAGAGTAAGATCAATCCGACGAGCTGGTTTCTCTGCCAGTTTTCCATCCCTTAATTCAGCTGTTCTTTGTCAGGTCATGCAAACATTTACTTGCAAAAGGTGTTCGAAGAGGCTAGCTGTCTTTTGCCCTCCGTGGTTTGTTAAGAACTCTCTGTTTGGAAGGACAAACCCTTAATCCACGTGGTATAAAATCCATGATGACATCTCTTCGCCGTTAACCTCAAAAAAGTAACTCACTTTAAAACAATATACTCCACAGAAAAGTTTACTTTTGGCGCCCCTGATGTTATAGTACATCGTTGTAGCGGGTTCCTTTAGCCGCGGATATGCCCGTTTGGAGCTTTGACCGATGACCTGGCAGGGTGGGACATGGGGCACGGCAAGCGGTTGTGACCAGGAATGGGGACCACGTAGACGAATGTTTAGGGTTCTTGGCGAAAGCGAGTCTTGGCAGGTCGGGCATGGATTTTAAGGAGGTTGGAGGGCGAAGGGTGGAGGGATGATTGAAGAGCAAGAAGTGTAAGGCTGGTTTTGGAGCTCATTTGAGTTTCTGTAAGCCCTTTTCTGTATCCATGGACCTCGCTTGGGCATACGTCCAACGTTAAACCGCTACATTGTTCGGCTGTTTACTAAACTATCTCTTTCTAATCCACTGTGCATTTACCCAATTTGAGCATGCATAAGAAAACTATTTTGGGTAATAAGATTTTATTCTTCAGCAAATATTTATGTTGTTTCTGTTTCTATCGTGTAAGGGACCGCATGAATTTCTTTTGTCCTTGTCCTGCCATAAACACATATAGCTTCTGTGAATATAATGAAAAGTAGAGTGAACCTCAGTTGGAGATAAACTTGCATATGCAAGCCTGTCACATGCTAGTCTTAGCTCAGACTTTGCCATTGTTTTTGTGGACCACTGTTTGCGGTTAAGATGCCTTCCTGAATTTGTCCTTGATTGTGGTGTCAGTAGTTCGATATTTGATGATCTAGGAGGAGGCCCTGGCACCATAATTCTCACTCTTTTATGGCCAGAAACGTTTAGTTCAATGCTTTCTTCCTCCAGTTTTACATTAGCATCTTGAGCATGTAAAACTAATTAGCCATCCAATAGTCTAAGCGACTTACCAAAACGTGGTGTAGAAGTGTCACAATCGGGCCTTGTCACCTTACCAAGCAAAGTACGCAATTTCCGTTGCTTCTCTAGGTGCTCTGTACGTTCGAGCTCTCTCTCCAACTCTTTGACTTTCTGCAGGCACAAAATGAGGTAAACTCGACTCCACTCTTCCACCAGCTTACCTTTTTCATCAAGGCCCGCGACTGAGCAGCCTGGCCTCTCAAAAAGACCCGTCGTTTAAGCATATTAGTAGCATCGGATTGCATTGCTTTTTGAAATAGCAGAGACTGTGTCTGGGCAGATGCAGCCTTCCAAGCATTCAGTCTCTCTGGCTGAGGGTTTGGAAATGGCAAAGCGTGAAAAAATGTAAACTTGTATGTGCTTGGCTTGAAAGGGTTTGCCACACCTGCAGCTAAAAGGGTGTGAATGTTATCACTATAAATAAATTAATGGCATACCAATGTTCATTTCGCCATGGTTTGGGTTTTTCGACCGTGAAGAATGCCTTGCGAACCTAACGATGCTTCTTTCTAAGCAGGCGGCAACTTCCTTAATCTTTTTTCTCTTATTTGCAATCCTCAGGATTTCTTGTAAATTTTCCATCCTATCATTCTCCTTTCCCAATATCAGGTGTTAGCAATAAGTTTGAATTCCTGTCAAGAAAAAAAAACCTTTTGCAGTGCTTTCATAAACCTGTGACGCGCAACAGCTCTGGCCTCTTCAGCGTACTTTTGCAGGAAATTAACATTTTTCATCTGTAAGGAGCAACTCGTGAGGGTGATAATAATGCGTATAAGTACTCACTTTGTCCAACATAAGTACAGCAGCTGCTCTATGGCCATCACCAACGTTATTCAGCGCACATATGCATCTGTTTTCGAGTTCTTTCAGACGATAGTTATGATTTTGCTCCCAATCTTCCTGCAAGGTGGAATCAAGGACAGATCGGTTGAAACTACGAGTACCTTCAGCTGGGTGAAGAATGCTTTTAAGTTCTCTTGCCTCCTCTGCAGATACCATTGTACTTCCTGTGATGAAAACTGGCGTTCCTGGTCCCGCACCTGAAGGACGCACAATCTTTGTCTACCAAAATCGCATCAAACGTAACCTGCATCATTCGGGCTTTCCTCATCTTCTGCCGGCAGGATCGCAAATCAGATTCCTGCTGCTCTTTGGTCATGCGATATGCCATGATGCCACTGTTCTTGAAATGGACTCTGACTACCCAAGAATTGCTTCCAAGAATATTCTTTATCATAATCTTGCAAACAATAAAATAGTTTTTTAATCTGTGCTTCACTAGCAGCCTAGCAACAATTTATATTACAATCTTATGAGAAACCTGACACGATGGCGACAGACTGCTGCTAATACCAGAAGAAAACCGATTTAAGGCGTCTTTGAATTTTTGAATCGGCGTTTGGAACTCTTCCACAGCTTTGTTCTATTTTCTCTTTCACAAATATCTAGAAGTTCAGGGTTTGAGCTTTTCTGCAAAAAGCCCAGCATGTGGAGTTTACATATGCAATATACATAAATGTCATGCACAAATAAACAATATCGCGACCAGTCCTTTTTTATTAACTGCCAAATAGGGTTTTGCAGTCAAGCGGCAATGGAAGTGCTAGGTTCTAAGCAGGACAAATCTGCTGCCATGAGTTCCAAAGTCATGGTACGCACAGCCGCTGGCAGCAAGTAGAAATTCTAGTTATGTGTTTTAGGCATTGCTGCGAAAGCTGTCAATTGACACTTGGCTTAGAGCGCATGGAAAATCTGTACGCCCTGAGTTGACGAAAAAGCAAAAGCAGGAGCTGAAAGAATGTTTTGAGCTGATTGATTTAGAAGGATCAGGTGGCAAGTCTTTTCCCATTTTAATGGCTGTTGAGGAACATTTGCAGGTGCCATTGACGGTTGTGAGCTCATGGCAGCATTTAATGTTTTAGGAATGCATGTGACTAGGTCCGAAATAGATAGGCTTTTGGACGAGGTGGACGAAGCCAAATGTGGTGAGGTTCGAACTTCTTTTGCTTTTTCCGGGTAGAACCTTGATAGTTTTTGTCCAGGTTGAGTATCCTGACTTTGTTCGTATTATGAAGTCCAAGCTCGAAACCCAATCTGAAGACTCTAATGATGAAGATTGTAAAAACACAACTTTACTCCTTTCCTAGAGTATCAATGTTGTTCCTTCTAATTTAGCGAAGCTCAAAGGCCAACAGCTTCCATTCCAGCTTCTTGCACGCGCATATCGGCGCAAGAAGGTTTGAGTAAATTAATTAAATTACATTTTGCCTATTTTTAATTTTCAGCTTATCGAGGCAGTGATGATTGGCGATAAAACTGCTCAAGAACGCTTGAGAGCAAAAGCTCTTGAAGCTGAAGCAGAACACCTGTCTGTGCTGGCTGCTATGGAAGCAGAAAGACAAAATCCGGTCTGTTTGGAATTTTCATCTATTAGAGATTTGCTTTTTAGTTGCCCCAGACTTTGGCTTATGACGAAAAGGACTTGCGGACAATGTCTGACATCAACTACCAGGTTGGTAGCATATATGAAGATGACTGTTCTCTTATCTTTGGCATACAGAAACTGAGGCAGGCTCAAGTTCGAGACAAGCACATCAGTACGCTTTGATCTTCGTTCAGGTAGCTAGTTACCTCTGCATCAGTTGCAGATCGCTCGTTTCCAAGCTACGTTGTGGATAGCCTTGACGAAGATGTAAAGAAAATACTCTATGGAGTTCAGGAAAACGAAATTCCAGCTGCCACTGACGAAGACAGCTTGTTTGCGGGTAATGATACATATTAGTCAAAAACTGAAATGCATAATGGTTCAGCTGTTTTCATACAACCCGGGCAAGAGATAAAGCCTATCAGTTTGAGCAAGCAGATAAAAGACTCTTACAAGACAGAGCTAGCAGATGTCAGTCAGCGCCATTGCAAGGTTGGGCATTTGACTTTATTTTTCTAAAGGTAGAGTAAAGTAAAAACACAGGTTCGGCATAAGCCCGTGCTTGAGCAGCAGATGATTCACCTGAAGGCACTCAAGTCTTTGCAAGAAGCTCAACAAAGAAAAAGTTTGTAAGAAGGGGGAACAACTATTATCCTCGACTATGTATCCTTTGCCACCAATTACTATGTTGCTGGCATGGATCCCTGGGTAAAGTGGATTTGAAATTTAAAAGTGGACTTTAATTTCTCTCAGCGACTCGCACTTCATCCTCACCCCAACAGACTTCCCTCTACTGTGAACATTGGTGAGGCTGGGGCCGTCCATGCAGACACCGGTGGAATATGCTGCTGCGGAGAACGTCGCACCTCTTGGAAATGCCGTCATCCTATGGGAGTTTTTGACAAGTCATCCATGGTATCAAATCTACAAACTCCGTTCTTGACAAGGGAAATGGCACATTGGACTGCACTCGCAATCACCCAAGCGCTATTTCCATGACGGGGTGCACCGCTGCAAGAAGAGAGCCCGTTCCGTTTAGTTAACCGATTAGAGCGACCTCTCGCACAGGAAAGAAGCAGATGAAGGTAAGGGGGCTCTGTCTTCTAAGTGGAAAAAGCAAGGCTTTTACGTCTCGTTGGAGGGACCAAGTACCGGGGGCATGGCATTCTCGGTTCTTCATGGTCGGAAGAAGCCGGCTGCGACATGGGCTGAAGAATCTTCCGAGGAGGAGATCAACATTCTGTCACTGTCTTTGGAGGAACTTCATGGAGAGGTAAGCGTCTTGCATCAGCAGGAGCTGAAAGACGCTCAAGGTGGTCAAGGGATCCAGGAGGATGGAATGGCCTATAGGCGACAAGAGGATCTTGAACGACAAATGGAAGAAAGGATGCAAAGGAGCTACTGTGGTGTAGCCGATCCAAGAACACCAGGCCGGCAAGCATCCGGGGTGCAGGACGTTCACAAGGAGTGGGTTTCCGGGATCTCGGACAACTAGAAACTTCCTTTTTTGGGAATGTTGGCATAGACTTTGATCCAGGCGTCTTCTATGCAACTTCTGAAAGTATGAGAGGCAGCTCAGAGCAATCGTGGACCATGGCTGTTGGACATAGAAGCGATCTCAACAGCTGGAACAGCCAATCATGTTGCTAAAGTCGAGAGAATTCCCAATGTACAATGCGGGACAAGAAGGGAAAGAAGGAATTGGCCAGAGCGGGTCAAGGAAGAAGAGGAGAGAGAAAGATGTAGGAAAATGAGAAACACAACCTACCTTCAGCCACTCCTTTATATCGTGTGCTCATACCAAGAAGTGGCTGTTTCCTTTACCAAGCTCTTCTCCTTTAGCTTCAGGTGCTGGATTCTTTGTTCAGCCGGTGTCTTCATGGCATCACTCATGGGAGCATCATCCACCAAGCCAGTGGGGCAAACATTCAGTGATCCCGGTG